TTGCCGAAAAAATGGAAGCTGAACACTTCTATTGTGAACTGTAGTATCTTGTCAACATGCCAACCCATTCCCCAAAAATTCCAGCCAGAAGTCTTACAAGTTATGGAAGGTTTGATTGATACAGTTGTACATAAAATAACTTAAAATTTGGTATTGGTGCATAAAATCAAGCAGGATATATATTAATAGAATTCTGCAAAGAAAATTCAAATTTTATAGCAAGTATCTTCCAACAATCTAAAAGGTGATATTACATGCACATAGACATCACTGAATGGACTACACTGAAACTGAATTGACTATATACTATGCAAAAAATATAGAGAAGTTCTATTCAGTCAACAAAAATAACACCTGATGCTCCATTTGATAAATAGAGTGCCTGAAGAACTCTGAACTGAAATATATGACACATTAAATATGAAGCAAGCAAAAATATCCCCAAAGGCAAAAAGTAAAAGAAAGCAAAGTTGACTGTATACAGGTAGACCTTGAGTTACAACCATTCATTTAGTGACTGTTTGAAGTTACAACAGCCTTGAAAAAAGTGACTTATGATCATTTTTCACATTTATATCCATTGCAGCATCCCTGTGGTTACATGAACACTTGGCAATTGGCTTCTGTGACGGTTGCAGTGCCCACGGTCATGTGATCACCTGTGACTATAACTTTGTTGCTTGTATCTTACAATTTATATTGTTTTTTTGTATGATTTATGTTGTTTGCTTGGTTAGTACTCTATGACTATCACTAAGTCTGGTATCCTATGTTTTATGATGAAGTGTTGTATTTATGATTTATGATGAATATATTTTTATGTTGTTTATGATCATGATTATCACTATTACTTGTATGTACACTGAGAGCTTATGCACCAGACACAAATTCCTTGTGTGTCCAAACACACTTAGCCAGTACAGAGTTCTATTCTATTGAATTCTATTTTGTGACCTTCTGACAAGCAAATCTCACAGGGAAGCCAGATTCACTTAACAACTGTGTTACTAACTTAACAACTGCAGTGATTCACTGAACAACAGTGGCAAGAAAGATCGTAAAATAAGTTAAAATTCGCTTAATAACTGTCTCTCTTATCAACAGAAATTGTGGTCGTTAAGTCAAGGACTACCTGTACTGATATATTAAAAATAGCTGAAGAAAGATGGAAAGCAAACAGAGACAAATAAAACTTTGTCTAACCAAGTTCCAAAGAAGAGTCAATAAATTAGATCTAAACAAGCAGTGCAATTGAAGATAACAATGTAAAGGATAAGAACTTTATTAATAAAATTACAGAAATCAAGAGAAACTTTTATGCAACAATAAGTATTACAAAGAAAAAGAAGGCAAAGATCTAACGGAGAAAAAGAGGCATAAAAAACTACCATGACTATAGGAAAGACCCCAAAATCTGTACACATGCAAACGTTTGAACACTAAACCAAAATCAGGCATTATGAACTGTAAAATTAAATGCTGGAAGCAACAAAGATGTAATTGACGAAAATCATGCCGATTTGTTTAAAATCCTATGCAATTACACAGTTAAAAGTGTAGCTTATGGTTTGCATGCAGGAAAGGACTAGAGAAGGTCAATTTATTTTCCACTGTTAAAAAGTGGCAGTTCTAAAGTATGTTTAAACAGTTGCAAATTAACAAGATGATGCTCCAGTACAAATGTACATATTGGATTTAGAAAAGTCAGGACCATCCAATGTCATTTTGGTAACATTTGATGGACAATAGAAAATACAGTACATGAAAGTTTTGGTAGATATCTTTTTTATTGTTTTATTGATTATAGCAAGATTTTGATTGACTAGGTATTAAGAAATAGATCCCAACAAGCAGAACTTTAAAAAAAATGGGTGTATTAAATAAGCCACTTCGTCTGCCTACAGAAGAATTGATAATGATGACCATGAAGCAACATTAGAAAAGAACAATTAAATGGTTTAGAATTGGGAAAAGAGTGATGGACCATATACCATCATTTTATGTCTTTAATTAATGAGCAAAATATCTTATCAGAAATGCTGAATTTGAAAAAATAGAAATCAAAATTGTTGGAACAAACATTAACAACCCCAGATATGATAATATGACTTCGATGTTTGGAAGCTAAGAGGACTTAAGATATCTCTTGTTGAAAATGAAAATTAGTGTAAAATTAATCTTTATTTTCCCAGGCTTAATAATACACAGGGGTGGTGACTGTAACTCTCAAATTAAGAAGTACTTGCTGTTTGGGGGAAAACCTGAAACAGAATTAGATAAAATACTGGACTGCAAAGCTATCAGAGTTCAAGACCATGGCAATAATATATTGCAATGAAAGCTGAACCATTAGAAAGATTAAACAAGAAAAATCTATGGCTTTTAATTGTAGTGCTGGCAAAAATTGCTGGGAATATTTTGGATCAAAAGAAAAACAAATCATTCAATATTAGATTAAATAAACTAGACCTTTTTATTGGAAACACTAATAATGAAGCTAAAGTTAATTTTGGTCACCTGGTTCAAAAGCAAAAGTTTCTGTAGGATGGGGGGGTCAAACTGCCGGCCCATGGGCTGGATGCGTAATGGCAAAACCGCCCACCCCATTGCCGGAAATGGAAAAAAAGTTGCGATACATCACAACACGTCATGTGATGTTGCGAGTTTGACACCCCTGCTGTAGGAGATCCTGATGGTTGGAAAAGCCAAAGGCAAATGAAAAAGAGATGGGCACAAAACATGGCAGCTAGATGCGATCACTGATTACAAGCACAAGCTTTTAAAGACTCAAACAAGTAATTCTAGTAAAAATATGATTATTTGGTCATAATTATAAGTAACTTAAGAACATATTTGAGAGGAAAGAGAAGATGTCTATGCCATTAAATTGGTCTGTAAATTTTGACTATGTTGGGGGTGGGGGGTTAAGCACATTACTTGTAATTATTCCAAAAGGAATCAGTTATGCTGCCAAACATAATCTTCCATTATATTTCTGCTCCAACTTTTTAGTTGTTTTCATCATACTATATTCTAGAATAGACAGCAAGGAAGTGGCAGAAATGCACTCTTCTACTAATATCTGTGGGAAAGCCATTCAAATCATGTGAATCTAGTGCTTGAAGGTGCTAAACAAGGCTTACCTAGAGAAGTAGATGCATGTCTTTTGGTTTCTTCTGGCAATTGTGGGCTAGCAGCCTACATGAGATCCCAGTCAATAGTCCTCAAAGAATGGGCTAGAAAGCGAAAAGAAGGTCTTGCTCTATATAGAGTCAGCCACCTTCTGTTGAAGCAGAAGATGAATATGAAATTGCAGGAAAGAATACTTTCTGTAAATTATTCTTTTTTTCCTGAATAGGGAATACATCCATGTATATTGGAGCAGTAACTTTCCAAAATCAAGTTTCATAGGCAATAATGGAGCTGCAATATTGATAGCTGAAATTTAAGGTACAGCATTAAGTGTGGGAGGGTTTTTATCAGGATCATAACACAAAAGAAAGATACATATTACTCTTTCCTTTCAAGTTGTAAACCTGATAAAAATCGTCCCTGATATCAAATACTGATGGTTTGGGGGGAAAGGATCCCACTGGAACCAGAAAAAAAATCAGTTTTTTGTTACATAATGTTAGAAATCTGGTTCATGAAGTTTCAAACAAGGTTTTCCTTTTCTTTCCTTTCCTTTCCTTTCGTTTCAAAATCTTTATTTTAACAAATTTTACAGAATCTTAAAGAAATAGAAAAAGTATACAATTTTAAAAAAATAGAAATATATATATATGAAAAACTACACAATATCTATCTATCCAAGTTAACAAAAATAAATCTCTACCCCACATCCTTGAACTCTTGGATATTATCCATCTTTGATTAACAAATCTATTCCTTGCTGACATTTCTAATAACTCATAGTATAATCTTTATGCGTCATAATTATGAAATTATTTGATCTGTTTATCCAGATTATAATTTATACTGCTTCCAAATTGTTTGCAATAGCTCTGGAGCTTTGATTTGTCTTTTTTGAGTGATCCTATTACCGCAGGCAGTGGTGAAATCATCTGAGACACAATAGGCTAAGCCTGAGCAAGAGATATTTCATAACAAATCCAGAGCTGCATCTTTTATGGCATCCCAAGTGACACAAGGAATATGTATTTATTAGCCTTCCATCATCCATACTCTTCCAAATGTGATCGGATGAAAAGGTTAAAATTCTATAATAGCACGAGCTTCAGCTAAGAATTCTAGGAATTGCAATCTCACCATAAGCGGAAGCCATTTGAGGAGACTAATGCTTCTATATCATCACAATAAGTCTAGCTATCCTTCCTTTTTATAAATCGCTAATCACAGTTAATCTTATTATTTGTTAAATTGGGAATCCTATTTGTGTGTGTTTGATATTTACAATAAACATAGGCCACATCTAACATACATGTTCTATAGGGAATATTAAAAAGAGCATATAGGTATATCCAGCTGTATAAAATTTGATAATTCATTTTAAATATCTTTTTTACATGTTCTATTCAGTAGGATGGGGATAGAACAGAATTATGGACCCAGAATAAAAACCCTTCATATGTTTTTTATTATGTGCATTAAACACACACTGAAAGCTTATGATGCAGGTTTTTAAGCTAAAATAACAATAAAAATAAAGCCTAATTTTCAGGAAAAAAAAGGAAAAAAATAGTGTGCCTAGAATTTATACATTCTAGGCACTTTATGTTGTAGTCTACTGAATTAAGGGCTACAATTATCCAAACTGTAGAACGTTGGGTAACAGCACTCTATTTCCATGCTCTGCCCCTTAGTAAGTAAGTTGCCCTATTGATGAACCACTAAACTGTGGGTAACAGGTCCTCTGTAGTCTTAGCTTAATGCAATGATTTAACTGAATATAACCTACAGAAATGGATTAATATGAAATTAGTGCAGAATAAAGATAACACAGCATGAGTAATGTTAGTAAAATTGACATGGATATTTACCTTTGGATGATGAACTATAAGTCTCTTGTTCTTCAATGAATAAAATGCACGGAATGATGGGAATAAAAAAAGAAATCAGCAATTTAAAGTTAGACAAAATGGTGTTATATATGAGAATGAAAAACACTACAGGCTCTGTTGCAACATGCAGAAAATTAATGTGGGGAAACAGATGAAAATAAATCATGACAAGTTATAAATTCTGAGGTTGATACAAAGGTAAACATGCTCAAGCTCACTGAAATTAATTGTCTTCAGTATTTTTAATGATGAATCATGGTCTGGAATATGAATTTTACAAGTTCTGAAGTTTAAATATCATTGAAAAGCTGCATTTGATGTGATGAGCCCATAAGAATTGCTGTTTCAAATGTTTATGAATGTGACTCTGTCCATTTTTTCCACATCATTTATCATTTAAGACTTTCACACATTAAAATAAAAACAAAATGCAGTATTATCATACAATACACAGGTATTTCCTTTAATCCGTTCAGATAAGAATGCAACCCATTGTACTTTAATTAGACCTGCATTGCTTTCAAGTGATGGTGTTAGAAATAACACTCAGATGAACAAAACGAAAAAAAAGTTTCTATTGCAAAAACGGAATGGCAAAATCACACACATAACCAATAATGTGTGTACATTGACAAATTTAAAGAACTGATAGCTATTAATTTATGACTTTTCAATGAGCTATTATCACATAATATTTTCCCATCAATTTTAACATATTTTAATAAGAAACTGACTTTCCCTATGGAGTCACAATTTACTACTTAAAGATGTATTGTGTCTGAGTAAAATCAAGTATGCTTTCTTTAATACAAAATATTCCAATGGATGCTGGTATAATTTTTATGCAAAATTTAAGAGGCAATTTAAACAAAAGTATAATAAGCCAATCTAATATATACTATCAAACACTGATATCGTACTAATCGTAACATAATGTCAAATACTGCAGAATCAAACATTGTCCTAAGCTCCTAGGCACTGGCAATCTTACCTAGGTAGTTAATGAGAGATCAACAAGCAAAGCTCAGAGAGCACTAAAGAGTCCATATTGTCTTAAGTATATAACAATTCTAAGTTTTGTATTTTGCTTTTGAACCTGATTAAACTATTCTTAAGTATAAATGATCAGAATATCATAAAAATGTACATATACATGAAACTGTAGCGTAAAATATACACAGATAGAACGGCACATGCTCACACTCAAAATATGTCTTTTTGGTAATCAATTGTCTAATAGGTGATGGACATTCTTTATTAAATCAAACAACAACATTCAATTCTGAAAAATGAAAAAAACATGATATTACTGGCCTCATAAAAATGATTTGATGATTTATATACATTTGCAAATCAAGACATATTAATGCTTTTTAAAAAAGATGTACTGTCTATTGGAACCCATGAACATCGCTCAAGCCTTTGTGACATGCATTTTTTACAGATGCTGCAATTAAGCAAGGTGTATTAAGTAAATGTTCAGGCATAAGAAATAATACAGTTCCCTCATCAGCACATTTTCACTTGGAAGTTCAGAAATAAAAATGAAAAGCTTATTAAGACCCAGCCTTAACATTACTTAGTAAAAAAAAAAAAACCTGCATTTTCAGAAAAAAAATCTATTCTAAATCCTGCAAAGACCTAATGTTTGCAGATCTGAAATGACACAGTATATGACAGTCCTAATTCTTCCCTTGCTGGCACATGATCTTCTGCAACATTTGTTCTTTTTTTGACAGAACAAAACTATCTGCTTCAATGAAAACTGTCAATTCATGCATGATGAACATGTTTTAATTTTTTAATAGAAAAGACTGCATTACATCAAATGTTATGATAACGTATTATCCACACTGAGGAACTGAAAATTCAGTGTGTGTGTGTGTGTGTGTGTGTGTGTGTGTGTATAAAATTAAATACCGTCATTTTAGAGAAAAGTGGTGTGCTTGAAATGCTATGATAAGACATTGGCTGTCATCCAAACATGATACTGACAACCCTAATCCAATAAAATTAATGAACTGGCATATATATCACAATTATAGTCACCATTAATCAACAGATTCACAATAATCAGGGAATCAATAAAAGCAAATCACATAATCTGTATTTTTGTAATTGCATATTTTCATTGGACCTATTTCTCTGTAATCAGCTCTATGTTGTATCCTCTGTATTTTTTTTGTTTCTCATTATTTTTGTAAGCATTTTTTAAACACTTGATATTATTTCCTAGAATACAGAAATATCTCAATATGCTGCAGGCAAATAAGGTCAGATGCTACAAGAATAATTTGCTAAATTCTTCTACAATTTCAATGTTTTGCAAGAAAAGTATGCATTATCATTTATGAATTAACATACTGTACATTTCTTATGTTACGATCAAGTTCTCTTCCTTCTGGTGCATGTTCCATATACTCCATACTACAAAAATGGCTGATCTGTTTTGATTCATCCCATTTGTAAAAATAGCAGACATTTCAAATGATAGAAATTAATTTCTGTTGAATGTTAGAGTTAACTAGTTAGAAGGAGGTGATAAGCTGCCTGGGAAAGCCAAGGGAAATCATCAAAACAATTTAAAAACGAAAATTAGAATATTTCAGGCATGTGATGCAACACCCAGAAAAATACAGCATACTCCATTTAATCCTCCAGGGAAAGAATGAAGGCAAACAATGTCCAGGCAGAAGAAGAACACCATGGATTCAAAATCTAACTCAGCAGCACTTTTTTGTGCGGCTGCTGATAAAAACAAGATCGCCAACATGATCGCCAACGTCCGATAACGGATATGGCACAAGTAGAAGAAGTTAGAAGTTAGTTCTGTTCCAAGAAGTAATCTCTCTGTAAAATAGCCAAAGTCACACTATTGTCCGCTTTACATTTGCAACTGGACAAAAATATTATACGACAGAATTTAGACAAAATTCTCAAGTCAAAACATTGTTCAAGCCATCCAAGGTACACATTTTAAAACTGCATTTTTTTACTATATTTAAAGTGACAGCATTGAAGAAGGCTGCAAAAAAAAAAAAAAAAAGGGAAATGTACTAGACCGATATGAGGACTCACCCTGAATGCCAGCTATGCAGATATGGCACACTTTAATATAATAAACTGATTAGTGCTTTCAGAAACTAACCAGAAAAAAATCTAGATTCACATTAAATTTTTACCATCGTGATGAATAACAAGTGAGCCCTGAGAACAAGTGAAATTAAATGTACTGAAATGTAAGAGCAATCAAGTTGGATGCCTTTTTTTCTATTTTATTGAAATTGGTCAAATTTTTCACTCTTAATAGTTTGAGATTGATTTCCAACCAACAAAATCCTGTAAGCATAAATTTGATGACACAATGTTTGTAATGAGAAATTGCATGGACAATTGCCACTTAGGAAATGTTTCTTCACAATATGAATTATTTAACACATAGTATGTATGTATGATCTTATACTAAGAAAAAATTATATATGAATACCAACAAAAAAAAATCCCCTTTCCTCCTAGAAAAATAGGGGTGGTGGTGGTGGAAATTAGCACACTTTCATATTTTCATACTCTAAAGAAGCACAAGTGGGTGCACAGTATTGATAAAACTATACAGTTTATTTAAAAAAAGAGATCTTAAACAATAACAATACAAATTAAAGGCACATGTATAATATATACCAAAATCATAAAATAAAATGACAAATAGGAAATAACTTATTGATCTGATGCATATTGTATTTGATAATTCTTCAGTGAGGTCTCCAATTTGTTTTTCATTAGGAAATTCAACTCACATATTATAAATATCGGCAAAATATGAATATCTAAATATTATTATTTTCTAAAAAGATGTGGGATACTAACATAATATACAGAAGGAAAAATCTAAAAGTTGTTATTTTTCAGTTATAAAACACAATGTAAAAAATATAAATTGTATGAATGCATTGTATATGATTTCTAATTCAAATCTAACAGTTGTGATTTTCACAAGAAAGTTACATAACTTTGAAATGCAGTAATTATGTTGTTTTACATAGGACAGAGTGGACTAGTGGACAACACTCTTTAGAAATTTCAGCAGCCAATCTTCTAAAATACAGTTCCCTTACATTCCTTTGTGTTTCACCCAGTAATACATTTTACCGGTATTTTCATTGGATTTTGACATGCTCAGAAAGGGATTTCATTAGTCTTGTTCACATTCCTGTCACCAAATTGCCATCAATTAGCTTCAGCTAACAAAACAAAGTAAAATTCAAGACATGTCAATAAATAGAATGAGGATCTCCAAACATCTTGGGGATAAAATAAACAATAAATAATCACACAAATAATTGATATGTATCTGCACAAATAAAACATCAGCCTTTTTTAATCACCCGTACAATTCACAATACATGTTTTAATATTGTCCTACCCTATCAGTGGAAACCAATAAAAACCTGAATAATCTATTAAGCAAGATCCAAGATGTTTTGAAAAACAAGAGGAGAAAGGAAGAGGAAAACAGAACTAAGATTTTCAAACTATAAACTGGTTTTTTTTGATACCTTGCTCTATACTGCCACTCCTGATGGGAACTTGTGGAAGCTGTCTCCCCTTACGGCTGAAGGACATATCTGCTGGAGATGACTGCATAGGACCTCCTGGTTGGCGCATTCTGCAGGAAAAAAATTAACATTAAATAGGGTGGTGTCACACACAACCAAATCAATGAGATATTACAAATACAAAAAAATGTTAAAATGTCAAAAAGAAAATATACACAAACTATCTTACTATTTATGTTCTTAATATGAGAGGTCTATTGGTTTAGGTACCAGGCTAAACAGCAGGAAACCGTGAGTTCAAGTGCCAGCTTAGCCATGAAAGCCAGCTGGGAGACTTTGGTCAGCCCAACCCACCTCACAGGTTTGCTGTTGTGAGGAAAATAGGAAGAGGAAGGTATATTGGATATGCATGCTGTTTTGTGAATCTGTAAAACTATCAGTAAAAAGCTAAGCATTTGACAATTTTGTGGAATTAATAATATTATTATATACGTAGGTCAACTCTTTTATAAACAGAATGTTAGAACATGTTCACACATCATCAAGTGAGAAATCTCTGAGAATATGATTCCAGGATATTCTTTCAGCTGGTATTTATACCATCTCATTTCTACATTTCCTCTTTTGAAATCATTGCTTTATTAAAATCATGGACATAATTACCGTAATATTGCAATTCTCAGTGTGGTATCATTAGGAAACTGCAATAGCCCATATCATTTAAAAGATAACAGAAAGTATTACAGAGAAATTACAAAAAAATAAAATGACCGTTTAAATAGAGATCTATAATCAAAAACTATCATTGCTTCTTCTGATACATGAATGAAAACGACCTTCCCAAGATCCAAGATCATTCCTGACAGATAATGCACTCTTTTCTCTCAGTGTGATAGTCCTACTCTTGTAAGAAACACAGAATTTTGCAGATTTCTCTCTGCCTCTGGAATGAGGGAAATGCATAATACAAGAACATATCCTTCATCGAATTATCAGGGTTTTGCACTGAAGTATTGCAACATTGTGAAAATTTTCATATGAATCCACTGTGCATCAGAATGATGGGAAGACAAAACACAACCAGATTTTAATTAGTAATCCCTTTGTATAATATAAATAATTCAATGAATGGAAGGATGTAAGAAAACATTAGATATCACGGAGGTAGTGGTTCACATCTGTGAGGCAGAAACAAATCTTGTGCAGTATATTTAATAGCAACCTAATCAAAAATAGAGAAGTTGGAGGCACTTCCAACAAGCACTGTGTCCTACTGGTACTGTATTTATGAGAAAAACATATGAAGGAGAGATCTTTGAGATAACACACAATTCCAGACTGTTACTCCTTGTGAGTAGACTGCAAGTAGACAGCAGTTGAGTTATGAGTTGAATGGCTGGGAATTGAGGAATACCTATTAAGGTCATATTTGTAATTCAGACTTTCAAGGGATAAAGCATGGCCAAATCTAATTTCTTCAACTCTTTCTGAAGTTTTTTTTTAAAAACTCTACTGTAAATATTAATACCTTTAAGACCAGCAAGGTTTGACTTATTCATCAGGTGAACTGCTTTTTCCTTGGAAAAGGGGTTTTAAATATGATTTTAAAAGTTCTGGAAAATATTATATTTTGAATTAAACAGTAAAAGGATGCTTAGAATGTGGATTATAGAAAGTTAACAATGGATTAAGTGTCCAGATGGAACTGTAATGATAGTTTTATAGTTTTGAATTAATTAGAAGAATTCTTCTCATGCAAAAAAGGTGATTGGGACTTTTTAAGAGGAAATATAGTAATGGGATCTTGAAAGTCTGACGCTAAAGGGATCTTGAGAATAATAAATTCATCTCATTAAGAAAGAACGAAGCTCAATCTCTGATGGATGTTTTTGCATTTTTGTCTTCAAAATTACTTGATATGATAGATCATGTATCACTAAAGTTACAAAAGAAGAACAAGCAACAAATTAAGTTGAATATAGATGTAAATGTGTCAAGTAAAAACAAAAATATGGAGAAGATGTTTTGGATATATAAACAAAACTAATGGATATTTCACTAATTAAAAGAGATATACAATTATTAAACCAGAAAAGTGATTTGGATGAATTTATCTCACTAGGTCCATGAAAGAGGCCTGTTGGAGTCCCGAAAGAGTTTATGAGAAGTAATAATAACAGGACGATTTTTACTTACTGGATGTATAACGAGTTCTGGGACTATATTTGATGGGGTTAAAAATTAACATTGTTAAAAGTTTAGGCAAGGAATACAAGTTTAGCTTATTTGATCAAGGTTAAAATAGAAAATTAGTTATATCTGGTTTTCCTTACTGTACTTTTGCTGATAAAGAACAAATGATGAGGATTTTCTACACTTTGGTTCCTTTTTTATATTTTTTTTCTTATATAATTCTATATTTTTATAGTTTGTATTAGTTTTTATTCTTTCTATTTGTAATTCTTAATTAAAATATTTTAAAATAGAAAAGTTGGCACTGAACCTCCAGAAACTAGGTGGTGAATAATGGCCTGATACTAGAATGATTTCTAGATCTTGACTGAGTATGATATTTCCCCCTAATTATGATTGGGAGATCACGGATTCTTAGAGCTGGAAGTCCCCTTCTAGAAACACATGGCAGTAGCACCTTTGAAATAACACAATGATTAATACAAGTCTTCATGAATTTTTTAAGGATAAATCTTGTCAGACTAAATGTATGTCATTTTTGCCAACTGAGAAAATGATGTGGTTATTATAAATCCCAATTTCAGCAAAGTAATTCATGATATTCCAGTTAGCAAGCTCACTAACATGGGCTGGGTAGCAGATCTATTAGGCCAATGCATAACTGGACTGAAAACCGTATTCTCAAAATATTCATCAATAGTTTCAACTACAAATACCAAGTTCTTTATTAGAAAACAGAAATCAAATATACTGGTAAAGGATGAAATGGAGAACACATAGCTTGATAAGGTTTGTGCAAAAAGGTTCTTAGAATAGTATTGATCAAGTCAGCAGACGGATTTATCTACTTAAATAGCAAATGAAATTTTAAGCCACCTCAACAGAAATAGCATTTCCAAATTAAAGAAAGTAATAGTTCTACTCTATTTTTTATTGCTTAGATCCACTGTATCCGGTTTTAGAAAGATTCAGAGAAAATATAAAAAAAGATTATTGAACAAAACAAAGAGATTCAGGGAATTCAAAATTAATTCAGTGGCGCTAAAGGAATTATGTAAGTTTAGTGTTGAGAAAAAAATGACTTGGGGAGATGTCTTAGCCCTTTTGAACTATCTGAAGGTTTCACACTGAAAAAGATCAAGACTTGTTCTCTGTTGATCTGAATGGAAGGGACAGAATAAGCATCCTGTCAGTCTGTGTTAATTCATTGCATATACCTTCTAGTCGAGGAGATATAAAGTGAAGTAACCTGCCTTAGGTTAGCGATCCATCTAAGGGTGATATTGTTTTTTTTCTTGTAAACTAGATCATAAGCTTTTGCTTTGCTTCTCTTAATGAGCAAACCTTGTTTTCTGTCCTCTGTGAGCAGTTCAATAAACTTGGCTCAAGCAGATTGTATGGTCTCTACTCATCAATCAGATAGGAGGATTTTACTCATTAGCTGTACCACTGGTTTGTTTTGACAGAGCACATACTGTTTCAACTTTAAAGAGAATGGAAATGGACAAAGAAATTCCACTTTGCTTGAACAGAAATGCTACCCATTAATGCAAAACCACTAATGCAACCAATTATTAGCAAGCTTCCTGCTGTCTTTCATTATATAATTATATCATTACTACAAGACAAAATTACTGTGCTTTGCTGTCATGAAGAGATTCCATGCCAATTGCACTTCAAGGCTCCATGATTGCTTGCTGTAAATAGACCATATGTTAGAGCAGGTAAATTTAAAACTTGTGAACTTCAACTTCCAGAATTCCCCAGCGGGGTGGGGAATTCTGGAAGCTGAAGCTAAAGTCCACAAGTTTTTTCTGGAGGAATATTTAAACTAAACAGCGGGGACAATGAGTTAATTGATACAGAACATCCCTGTCCCCGGCAATCTAAAAACTATAGGGCTATCAGTGCATGTAACAGAGATGTGTATATGGACAAGAATACCAACCTTGCTGTCAAGCAAAATCAAGCTTTCAACAACGAGTGCCACACAAAGTGCACTAACCAAATAGGTGGGAAGACAATAGGGGAACTCAGGCACCACACAGGTTATGTAGAAAGTAAACACAGGGTTGGTCATAAAGGACTCAAATGTCTATACATCAATGCACAGAGTATGAACAGCAAATAGGGTGAACTGGAAATTCAGGTTAATGAGGGCAGGTATGATATTGTTGCCATTACGGAAACTTGGTGGGATGAAACCCACAAATGGAACACACAGCTAAAGGGATTTAAATTATTAAAAGAAACAAACCAAATAAAAGAGGAGATGGAGTTGGTCTCTATATAAGAAATAACTACATTTCTACAGAAATAGAGCACAACAATGATGAAAACTGTCTTGAATGCATTTGGGTCAATATAAAAGGAAGAAAAAATGACATTGCCATAGGTGTATACTACAGGCCACCCAACCAAACAGAGGAAATAGATGAACTTTTTGCTAGTCAGCTAACTAAGGTATGTAGGAAGCAAATCACAATAGTAATGGGAGACTTTCACTACCCTGACATCAGCTGGGAGACAAACTCTACACCAAGTGGAAGATCAAACAGATTCCTGACAAACCTAGCAGTCTCCCAAAAAGTAGAGAAGCAAACTAGGGGATTACCCATTTTGGATCTAATTCTCACTAACAGAGATGAAATGATAGACAGTGTTGAATCTTGGGAGGTAGTGATCATGCAGTTCAACATTATGGAAGCACAAGCAATAGAACATAGTCAAACTAGAGGCTTGGACTTCAAGAGAGCTAATTTCAATAAACTTAGAGAGGGCTTGGGAAAGATTCCATGGATGAGAATCCTCCAGGGGAAAACAACTCAAGAAGCTTGGGAAATTTTGAAAAGCGAAATAATAGAAGCCCAGTCTAGCACAATATCAACAAAGAGGAAAAATAACAGCTCTCAAAAGAAACCAGCATGGCTGCATAAAGAACTCTCTGATAAATTGAAAGATAAAAAGGACAAGTATAGAAAGTGGAAAGAGGGGCATATAACTAAATCCAAATATCAACAAATAGCCCGAGCCTACAAAGATGAAGTGAAGAAAGCTAAGGCACATAATGAACTAAGGCTTACGACTAAAGTCAAAAAATAACAAAAAAAGCTTCTTTCAACATGTAAAAAACAAGAAAAAAGTGAAGGAAATGATTGGTCCATTAGTGGGTGAAAGTGGTAAGAAGGTGACAAGCAACAGGGAGAAAGCAGAACCATTTAATTCGTTTTTTTGCATCTGTCTTTACACAAAGGGAAAAAACAAACCAACCTATCAAAAATAGTGCCATAAAAAATAGTATAGAAACACAAGTTAAGATAGGCAAGAAAATGATAAGTGAGCACCTGTCCAGCCTAGACGAGTTCAAATCACCAGGACTAGATGGATTACACCCCATGATTCTCAAGGAACTGGCAGATGTGATCTCAGAACCACTGAACTATATTTTTCAAAGATCTTGGAGCACTGGGGAACTACCAGAGGACTGAAAAAGAGCTGATGTAGTTCCCATCTTCAAAAAAAGAAAAAAAAATGGATCCAGGAAATAACAGACCTATAAGCCTGACCTCAATACCTGGGAAGATTCTGGAAAAGATAATCAAACAACGAATCAGCAAACACCTAGAACCAAGCAAAATCACTACTAAAAGCCAACATGGGTTTGTCAAAAACAAATGCCAGACAAGCCTTATTGCATTCTTTGACCAAGTGACAAAATTAGTGGATCAGAGGAATGCTTTGGATATAATTTACTTGGACTTCAGTAAGGCATTTGATAAAGTGGATCACAACCTACTACTCTATAAGATAGAAAAATGTGGGTTAGACAGTATCACCGCCAGATGGATTTGTAGCTGGCTGACTGGCCGTACTCAGCATGTGTCCTCAATGGAACTGCATCTACATGGAGGGAAGTGTGTAGTGGGGTGCCCCAGGGCTCTGTTCTAGGCCCAGTGCTCTTCAACATCTTCATCAATGATTTGGACGAGGGGATAGATGGGGAACTCATCAAATTTGCGGATGACACCAAGCTGGCAGGAATAGCCAACACTCCAGAAGACAGGCTTAAGATACAGGAGGACCTGGACAGACTTGAACACTGGGCGCTATCTAACAAAATGAAATTCAATGGTGAAAAAAGTAAGGTTCTACATTTAGGCAAGAAAAAACAAATGTACAGGTATAGTATGGGGGTACCTTGCTCAATACTGGTAACTGTGAGAGGGATCTCGGAGTCCTAGTGGACAATCACTTAAATATGAGCCAGCAGTGTGCTGCAGCTGCCAAAAAAGCCAACACAGTGCTAGGCTGCAGAGGGATAGAATCAAGATCATGTGAAGTATTAATACCACTTTACAATGCCTTGGTAAGGCCACCCTTGGAATACTGCATGCAGTTTTGGTCACCACGATGTAAAAAAGATGTTGAGACTCTAGAAAGAGTACAGAGAAGAGCAACAAAGATGACTAGGGGACTGGAGGCTAAAACATATAAGGAACGGTTGCTGGAATTGGGTATGTCTAGTTTAACGAAGAGAAGGACGAGGCGGGACATGATAGCAGTGTTCCAATATCTCAGGGGCTGCCACAAAGAAGAGGGAGTCAAGCTATTCTCCAAAGGGCCTAAAGGCAGGACAAGAAGCAAAGGATGGAAACTAATCAAGGAGAGAAGCAACATAGAACTAAGGAGAAACTTCCTGACAGTTAGAACAATTAACCAATGGAACAACCTGCCTCCAGAAGTGGTGAATGCTCGAACACTGGAAGTTTTTAAGAAGAGACTGTACAGCCATTTGTCCGAAATGGTGTAGGGTTTCCTGCCTGAGCAGGGGATTGGACTCGATGACCTCCAAGGTCCCTTCCAACTTTATGATAATGATGTCTTAAAATTGCCAAATTTGGAAAACCGTGTTAGAGCTATTTAGTAACAGCTTTGCAAAACCTTAGTAACAAGTCTTTTACAGACTTTACATATTTAAGATTATGATATGAGGTGGCGCAGTAATTAGAGTGCAGTACTGCAGGCCACTTTAGCTGACTGTGTTCAGCAGGGCAGCAGTTCAAATCTCACCGGCTCAAGGTTGACTCAGCCTTTCATCCTTCCGGGGTAGGTAAAATGAGGACCCAGATTGTTGGGGGCAATGTAAATGTATATATACATTGCTTACTGGTGTACACCGCTTAGAGAGTGCTTGCACTTAAAAGCGGTATATAAGCCTCATAAATAAATAAATAAATAAATATGTGCATAATCATATTAACAAAAAGTTTATTATGACCAACGATCAGCATGACATGTGCATAAAAGACAATAACATCAGCAAACTGATCAAGGCACATTGTTGTTACATACTGTAGAATCCATCTTACCTTTCTGTTTCTGATGCAGAGCTTTTCCTAATCTGTTTTTGGGTGCTGTATCTTTCCACCTTTCTGGGATGCCTGTGAAATGAGATGCCCCAAAAAATGAAAAAGAGAAGCAAGCAATCTAGAAACCAGAAAATTGCAAAGATTTAGCTTGATTTCTTGCAAATGGAAGTGCAAAAACTTTTAGGTTTTCTGAATGACTACTAATAATGGACTTTGGATAAAATGCCATCTGCACCCACCTTACTTTAACCCAACAAATTCACTTTCTTTGGTATAGATAATGCTAATCAGGCTGACTATTTCTCAAATGCTAAACAACTCTAAAATTGAAGCCATGGAAAACTTCCATTATTGGTTAAAATCCAACATTAAGGGTCTGGTAGAAAAGTGAAATTCTCCTGGGTTAAAATTCAAAAAGATGCTCTTATATTATATGTATGCAGTATAAAACAAAAATAGCACAATTTAACTGTGATAATAAAAACATTGCTAATAAACTTGGGCAGATATATGTGATTTGAATTACACATTGGTAAGCTATAGAAAACACATTTGCATGTGGTAACTGTGAGACCTATTACATGCTTTGGCTATAGCTTATGCAACTAAACAATAAGAATGTATGAATGTTACATTTGGATGTTAAATTCAAATAGAGTCAAACCATCTGATCACAACTCAGCTGGGTTCTTGCTATATTAAACTGTCAACATCTCATGCCCTCTGGTTGTTTTTAAGAGATACTAAGATTATATAGTCAGGCTGATTTCAGAATTTGAAAAAAGAAAGAAAAAGAAAGAGGAAAAAATCAGTGCTGCTTCCTTTGAGCTGTTTAAAAGTATTACCCCCTATGTATTTTTCATTGACCACGGGTATTCAGAGCAACATTATTTTGTCATAACCTTAACATGTCAGCTGAGAACAAGTTAGGTGAAAACATTTTTATTCTTAAATTACAATAAAAAGAATCCAAGCCTGCAATCCACTATCAGCATGGTTTGAAAAAAAAAATTAAAGGGGTTTGATCTATTGTGATCAAAAGAACATCATTTGAAGAGCTGGCTAATTGAGATTTTCTACATGCATTCAAAGAGAGGCCTAAAATACAGTAACATCATTACAGGCCAACTATTAACTTTGGTTTTCATTCCACAGTCTAGTCCCAAGAGCCATAATGCTTTCAGAATCTTGAAAACATGATACTTCTCCAGAATTTGAACAAAGCAAATCAAAGACCTTGGGATCTAGGATAGCAATAGTACTTAGACTTATATATCACTTCACAGTGCTTTACAGCCCTCTCTAAGTGGTTTTACAGAGTCAGCCTGTTGCCCCCAACAATCTGGGTCCTCATTTTACCGACCTCGGAAGGATGGAAGGCTGAGTCAATCTTGAACAGGTGAAACTCAAACTGCCAAACTGCAGGCAGCTGGGAGTCAGCATAACTACTGCACCAGCACAGCTCAGTTCATGCATTCCTTGGAGTTTCGCAGTATGGCGACTGTGCCCTCTCACTGACCACCCGATAGTCATGTTTCTCACTCTCACTTCCATTTTCTGTTACATTTCATTGCTTTCCTTGAGGTCTTTGGTCTAAATTTTTTAATGAATTTTTTGCTTGTTGCATTGTCTTATGGTTTTTCATTCATGAAACCCTTTTTGAAAGATCTGTAGACATTATTTAACTGTACTAGCTACTACGCATTTTTCTATTTTTTGGGATATCTGCAACAGTTTTTTTTGGCAGTGTTAATGACCTTCTCACTCCTTCTGTTATACACTGTTAATAGAAGAGCATCTTATATATAATAGTTTGATGTTTTTTTATAGTAAAGAACTAAACACATCTATGGTCCATAAACTTCCAGTATCCTTTAAAGATTTGGTCAAAGTCCAAATCTTAAATAATCTGCTGACTTGATCAGAAAGGAAATGCAATTAAAAAAATGAAGATATTTAAGCGTTACTTAATGAACTTAAGATGCAACACACACACACACTAACACACATACTTATCAAACAGTAAAACATCCTTCAAAGATGTAGAAAATAACGATATAATATGTGACAGAGCTAGGTTATAAATTAAGATTTTAGTATTTAATTTCATGTATTATATATGGGAGCTGCAAGACAACTTTAGCAAGGATACCTCTGTATTTCTTCTGGATTAGCACTTAGGAAGTTTAAACTGTCTTGTTTTGGATTGCAAGACTCCGGCAGTGTTGTTCTTCACAAGTTTTGGAAACATGGAAGTGAAAGTTGAACAGAATGGATAGAAACAAATAGAAACAGAGAGATGGTCACATGCAATGAAAATGGAAACATGCAATCAAGATATTTATATGACAAGAGCATTCCACTATTACATCCAGCAACATTTCTATGTTCTCTTTTTCACTGTTTTTAAGGAGGTTTTTTAAAAGAAAGTAATAACTGCTACAAAATAAAATGAAAGCCATTAATAAACACTAAAGACCAACATATGCTCATCAATAACACCAAAGAATATGCAGAAATTCAGAAATAATTTGGAAAAGACCATTTGGAGTGCAGAGAGTTATGAATTTAGCACCCATATGCATTTCATTAAATGCATACATTCTAATCCTCGGAAGAGACAAAGCAGCTTTAAAACACTGCAGAAAGGTATCTCATTCATACATACATACATTCCAAACAAACTTTTCCAAATTATTTCAAAAACCTTACATAATCTACTGACATCTCTCCAGCCCTGTTGGGAAATACTCTCTCAAGAGCTGCACATGAGTGTATTTTTGTGAGTGGCTTTTAAAAATCTGTGGATTTGTTCTGACATCCTTTTTTATTTTTCTCTTATGTTGTCACAAAAATAATTTCTTTTAGCAATACAAATGTAATTTAAAAAATAGCATGCCTTTATTTTGCAGAGGAGAGCAATTTGCAAGATAGTACTGAGCATTTTTTTCGTAGTTATTCTAAGCTGAGATACATATTCTAATTATATACACACCCATACAAATTCTAACAACAATGGACCCAAATGTTTCCATTGTAGATCAACAGTTGAAAAGAAAACATTCTTGGAGTTTGGATTGAACTATGGATATTTACTTTCTATACAGGTTCTTACAAGCAAATATTTTTTCAACTGTTACAAAAAATCTTGGTTGATCCACAATAGGATTATAGGATTATAGCATGTAAAAAAAAATTCTCATACAATATCTAAGAAGAAACTAAGCTCCTTTTTGCTATCTAATTGCTTAACTAGGGGCACAGCTAGTACTTTTTTTTCTACCTGACAGTATAACCTGGCCATTATCAGAACCAAACAGTTTTTAATTTTTGGTTTGGTTTTTAAACTCTGCCACAAATACACGTAGCCTACTAACTTTATTTAGTTTTGCTTCTCAAATGTTGATGCTTTGACATTTAATGAAAAGATTGGAAATGATAGTTAACTTTGGCAGGAATAAGTCAACACAAAAATTTCCACAAAAATTATTTTATCTGTCTACTTCTAAGTAATCCTGTCTACTTCTACACTAACCATTTTTAATAAGAGAAGAGGCCTTCTAAGGATAAAAAAAAAGTATTTGACACTTCTATACCTGCAGTATTTTGATAATGAAAATATTTTAGGGACTAACATGAGACAGTAGAGACTTCATATTTTCAATTCGGGTAGATGTTATTTAAATGTAATTTTATTACATAGTACTTGTGTATAAAAGAAACTGCCTTGTTGATGTTTTATGGAGAGTTAAACTAAGGCTTACTGCATACTACAATAAATAATACTCAGAAACAGAGTTATACAATGGATAGATTTTCTGGGAATCACAATCTCAAATGCATCTGGAGAAGATTACATCACTGACATCTCTTTCTTTCAACAAGACTTCCCTTTGATCTTCTCCTTGCATATACACACAAATCTGTTTCTGAGAATCCTCAAAGCATTTAGAGCATTTTTATTGACGCAAGGATGTGCTGATGATAGAGGTGTAAATGCTATTCACTTATAATGTGAATTATCAGATTTGGGTTATAAAAATCCAAGTGAAGTAATAATTTGCAGCAAAGAGATGAGAAAATAGTACTTCTTTTCTGCTGTTTAGTGTTAACATGGATTTTTGCACCCATAATTCTACTTACAATCCAGAATTAGATATTGAGAAGAGTTGATAAGAAAGATTATCTGAATGCATAATTTGGCAGCCCAATTAAAAAGAGCAATTTGCTTTAAGGGAAAAAATGAAAAAATGTTTATTATCCAAGAATGATGCAGCATCAAGTAAAATCATAATACAACAACAACAAACCAATAGATGATATTTACATATATTACATTTGGCCAATCAGCATATAAAGAGAAATCCAAAGCACTGGAATTAGCAGTTGCCTTGTTCAGAATGTCTGAATTGTTTAAAGTAAAACAATATAAATATACCATTACACAAACTCACTGTTGTGAATTGAATTATGAGCCATAAAGACAGGGCACAATTTGGCCTGATGTTAGGAAGACTTAAATCACTGATTTCATTGAGGTTTAGCATGCCAAACGTTCCAGAGCTACGATCCCTTGTAGAAAAAGGCTGGATTCCATATATTACAATGTAATCCTAGAGGATTTTTACATAGACGTAAGTCTCAGTACTAAACTGGTTTATACCTACAAAGTTGTCCTGTAGAGTAGCTTATGAGATCAAGTTTTAAGTCTAATTACTGGGGAACAAACCTCACATAATTCAGTGGAGCTAAGACATGCATGAAATTTCTCTTTCAATGTATTATAAAGCACAAAATTAAAGCATCATTGTAGTGATGCTCTTGCCACGAAGTAGGACACAAGTATTGTGAGGAATCATAAGAGACTAAAGACAAAGGAGCAAACTTTCCTCTACTACAGAGCTCAAATACTTATTTGGTATGTTTAATCTCAAAGTCTAAGGGAAATGTATTCATCAACTAAAGATTCTGATTCCTTTACCACTCCTCTTCCTCATTTCTCTTATATATACTATCCCTCTTGCTCATGGTCCCAAATATAGACTTATTTAACCTATGTTGATACATAAGAGGGCCTAAATAAATCTTTTCCAGTGATAGCCAACTAAGAGTTGAGTTCATCACAAAATATGCTATTTAACGTGTGACTGGCACTGACTTAAAAGTTGCTTTATAATCATTGAATGAAGTTCAAGGACATCTCATAAAGTTGCAAATTTGAGTTCCTGGAAACTGAAACTTTAAACACGTGCTGTTCCTACTTGATATGAATGATTCAGCAAGCTACTTTTCAGCTAGGAGGAGCTGACTAGTACCTGTCATCCTCCGGAGATGCATGTTGGATATGAATCCGGGGACTAGTGGGTCTTCTATCTAGTGAGGGGGACCATCTACTTCTGTTTGTTCATTGAATAAAATAGGAAGAAAAACAGAACATTTAGTGAACAACTTTATTTTAAAAAAAATGCAAAAAAACTCTAAAAAGTACCTCAAAAAAAAGTGCCTATTTTGTCTAAATCATGTTCAACCTACAGAAATTTTGTCTGAATTTATATTCACCTGGATTACTTACGTTGAAATTTGTAAACTATTCTGCTTTTTTAAAATTAGCAGTCAATTAGCAATCTTGTGCAAAATTTAATTTAATTTTAGATGAGTTTGCTATTTGTCTGGGGTTCCAATTTTTACTCTGAGAAGGTGCATTTTCTGGCACGCTCGAGGTCACATAATCCATTATCTTTTGATAATTTATTTTTCACATTATACTGCATTATGCAGTGTAACTCTTCGTGCTTGGAAAATAATTCAGAAGAGAGCAAGCACAAGCCCAACAACTCTTTAAAGCAGCAGTGTCTTTTTCAGGCTTCCATGCAAGCATTCTTTAAAGAGGTATTGCACTTAAGCTTGAACCCACATTCCAAAACACCTTTTCTGAATCCCTTTCAAAACATGTGAAGTACTGGTATAAAGTACATTTTTAAATTGATAAGCCATTTATATCATTAAGATGACTAATGGACCAAACATCTGCATTTCAAACATCTGTGTATTTTACAATAAAATATGCATTCTTGTTAAAATTTAATGAATAGTTTAAAACAGAAAGGATATGTTACTATTGACATTTCTCCATTTTGGGTAATCAGGCTTTTTGCTTCCTTACTTAATCAAATAATTCTATTACTGCAGTTGTGGAATTTAAGCCCCTTATCACACAGATAAAGGGAATCTTAAATAAAATATTTTCCTTGTACGCCTCATAGCATATTCTTATTCTGAGTGAAGGAATTGCCTGGAGGTGCATCAAATAATTTAGACTGTTGTCATTTGGTCTATGGTGATTCTGGGAATTACAAATCTTATTTTTCTTAGCTTTAAAGAAATCTCTTCCATACAACACTAAAGTGCTAATGGGCAGATATATTGTTAATATGACCATTTTAACTAATTCTTGAATTGTTTCCAGTCTTTGTCACACTTAGTCATTTGGTCACATTAGTCATAACTATTTTAAGTCCAGGTAATTTCAGTAAATATACTCTGGATCCAATCTACTACATCAACCAGACAATCAGTATTAACTTTGTGGAATGCAACTTATTTTCCTAGTTATAACATTAATAATTAAAAATGTATTTGACTGCTAGCATAGGTTAGAGATGTAGAGATGTAAAGAGACAAATTATAGCCAAATATTTCTTTAATCAGAAAGTTTGGAACATTATATGGATCTCAGTGTCTATTTTCATTCTTTCTCTTGCACATCTTGATATTCAAATTGTTGAGTGCTTTTCACTTAGAAAGCATTCATGAGAATGCATGATTGGACCCTTTTTGTAGGAGTGTAATATTCTGGGTTCTAAAATTTAGGTGTGTGTGTGTGTGTGTGTGTGAGAGAGAGAGAGAGAAAGAGAGAGAGAGAGGGAGAGGGAGAGAGAGAGAGGCTTTTGATCATGTATCTTTTATATTCCATTCACAATTTTCTGAATCTTTTCTCTTATTACCACCTCATTATTTCTGGATGTTTCTTCATATTAAACATATTGTAAATATTTGGGAGTATGCTATATTTAAAAAGTGAACTGAACTATTCTTTTTTTAAAAAAAGTTATGTAACTGACTTTCATCAATTATAAATTTTAGCTAGTGTCAAGAAAACAGTGTAAAAGTACTATCTGTTCTGTTTGCAATATAAGATTTCAGCAAACAGCAAATTGTCCACATTGTTAGTTGTTCTTTTTTTTGAGATACTTTCCAGTTTTGATCAAAGAGTTTTATGAAAGAAAGCAGACTATATAGCAGGGGAGTTAGCATTCTAGCATATTAGTAAAATTTCCAAGATACTTTAAAAGGCTGTTAATAAGCGTCAGGTTTTCCTGTAAGCCAAATATTGAAGCTATATAGGCACCAGTGCACTCAAAGCCCTTAATATGCTGATATTTTGTATAATAAAACAATAAAAATAAAAAATATTCATTTGCAAACATGCATTATACTGTGTAAAAATGTGATCTCACATAACTAGTTTCAATGCTGTGGAATGTACTATACACAATTAATACATAAGATGCCATGCATTTGGACGTAGTTTGTATAGGTACCTTTGCACCATAAGAAAGGTTTACCCTTTTTGCTATAATTCTTTCAGCCATTGCAGTCTTCCCATCCTCATGACCATATTATAGATCACTTATTTCCCACAGCCACCAGTAAGCTTATGAGTAAGACCAGACAACTTTGTCCAGCTAAATCTATCCATTAGGAAATCTCCTCCACTTTGTCCAGCTAAATCTATCCATTAGGAAAAGCACATGGACCCCCTAGTACAGTGATGGTGAACCTTTTAGAAACCGAGTGCCCAAACTGCAACCCCAAACCCACTTATGCATTGTCGGGTGCCGGGTGGGTGTGGCCCATTGGATGGGTGTGGCAATTGGGTGGGTGTGGCCCACTGGGTGGGCGTGGCTGTGGTGGTAACGGCAGACTGGGTGGGACTAAAAAGTTCAATCAATCAATTCCAACTTTGCAAGATCTTTTTTTTCCCACGAGAAATTAAAATTGACTCATTGGTTGAACCTTTTTTTTTTTTTTTTTGCACACGGCAGCGGAGGCCTAAAGTGAAAAGGTTTTATAAAACCCAGCTGAAGGCCTAGGACTGGGGCGACAGCGCGCGTGGTCACAGAGAGGGCTCTGAGTGCCGCCTCTGGCACCCGTGCCATAGGTTCGCCACCACTGCCCTAGTAGCTTTGTGGATCTGTTGGAGGAGGAACCTTTTTCTCCACATCCCCACCACATATTCCTAGTTCCTGTTGCCATTAGCAGTAAGAAGCCAGTAATCTTTTCCCTGCCAGCCAGCTGATAGTACTCATTAGCTCACTGGTGGTAAAAAGTACTATGGCTGCAAAAAGTATGACCAAGATCTGTTTCTTAATACATTTTTACAGAATGCTGGAAAATATTAATAATATGATATTCAGGGTTATAGAAAATTTCCCATGCTTGATTTTACGTTTATGGAGATTGTGTAATAGAGTCCCACCTTTTAAGAGCAGGCAGGCTTATTGAATAGGATGATTAATATCTTTGACATTTGACATTTTGAAGGATCAGTAGAAAATGACAATATTGTAAATCAATTAAAATCACTTCAAGTTCTTAAAATCTCTTATATCAATCTCCAGAAACTCTTGCCCTTGCAAAAGACTTATTAGCAATTTTCTAACTGAACCATCTTTTCTTCTCACAAAAGTGCTTTAAAGGGGCTTTTGGGGGGAGTTGTGGCACTTTTTCTAATTCCTTGGAAGACATTTGGTGATAGTGAAGGAAAAATCCTCTGGTATCCTAGATTATGGGATATTCGGTGTCAACGTTAAAAGATTTGCTCAATCTTTTGGTCTTTCGTCTGGTCTTTCTTCTTCAGAAATTTTAACTGCTAAATTTAAACTTTAATTTGGTTACATTTACTGCCGTTTTGAATTCTGTTATGAGACCATCTGTATGATTATTTTTATCATACATATACCGTATATGCTGGCGTATAAGGCGACTTCCGCAAGCATTAAAATCGGCGCCAAAGACGGGGGTCGTCTTATATGCCGGGTCGTCTTATACGCCGGAAATACTGGTAGTTTCCGGCGTATAAGACGACGTTCTAGGAATGCGACTCAGTGCCAAAGACAGGGGTCGTCTTATACGCCAGGTCGCCTAATATGCCGGCATATACAGTAGGCAAAAAATTTAATCCCACTCCCATAAAGGTTCACTTTTTATTAACTTCCTATATTATTTCTGGAAACACTTTTCTCCACTTTTCCCATATCATCCATCATTGTGAGATTGCACCTATTTACTCATTGCTGTTGGTAAAAACATGAATTGGGCATGTTCAGCCGAGTGCTGGCTGCCGACTGAACTGGCCAAGGCCATTTATGGTAACAGACAAGACCTTCAATGTAATGTCTTATTGGGAAAACAAGGCTCCCTGCCAGTGCCAACATTTCATACATGTTTATAAGAACTTTACTAAATGTGGGATCCGCATCCTAAAACCAAGACAACTTTATAAATTGAATTAAATTATATATGCAGTTGTGCAATCAGGCTAAAAGAATTGGCTTAATGTTGCAGAATACCCTTCAGTCATAATATCAGCTGATTCAAATTTCCAGACGTCAATCCAAAAGCTCAAACACCATTGAAGAACGGTGCTGCTCCCAAAATAAATTATGTGAAATAAATTGCTACTGTCAGCCCATGCAATTCTGCACACTAGGCAAGTAGATCTTTTAAATTATATAAAGCACTTCCTGAAATAAACATTTCGGTAAAGTTTCCCCCATGTTCATAGCTCCTGGTCCTGTATTGGATGTTTAGGGTATATGGGATGTTCAGAGGGACCTGCTGCACCGTTTTTAGGGCTGCTTGTTCACCTGGTGCTCAGTTCTTACCTGTGGCACCAAGTATCTTTTATATGACAGCAGCCATACCCCCAATAAAATCAACTAGGCAGATGGTCCAAACCACGTGAGATCACCAAGCTAAGAAATGTTTCAAATACTTGGGAAGAATCATTTTGAGCAATGGGACTTTGGATAAAGAAATTGACTTCAGGATCAGCAAGACCAGCCAGGCACTAGACCAGCTGTATATTAGAGTGCTCAATCAACATAACAATCATATTTCCACAAAGCTAAAAGTCTACAAAACTGTGGTTTTCCCCTCCCTCCTATATGGATGTAAGTTCTGGATTCTGTACTGATGATACATCAAACAATTGGAGAAATTTCACTTGCACACTCTCTGCTCCATTCTTGGCATTTGTAGGCAAGTCTATGTTTCAACCTAGAGGTTTTGGATGATACAAAGGCCTCCAGCACAAAGTCCCTGATTATCAAAGCCCGAGGCTGTGGTTGGAACACATCATCAGAATGGATGACTACTGTATGTCACGCTGGTTGCTTTAGAGTATATGGAGTCTGGGGAGAGACTTCAAGGTTGACTGTGCAAGCACAACAATGAAACTGTGAAAGAAGCCCTATGCTACTGTGACCTCAAACCAAGGGAACCAGAAGCTGCAGCTGCTGACAGAATCTGGTAATGAGCCCCAGACTATAAAACTTCTAGCAGATTTGAAGACAGGCACTACCAAAACCTGATAGAAAACTATAGGGGCATCACAGAATAACTTTCATAATTACTAAAATGGACTTCCAGTATCCCTATTATGCTAGACTCTGTGCTTCCAGGCTGGGACTGTAGAGCTACCTCTGTGTCCACAGATGAGCTGCTGCACAATAGAGTGTCTTCTTTGACTCAACCAGATATCCATCCATCTATCTATCTATCTGAAAACTGGAAGCAGAGAGGAAAAGGTCATAAGATAGATAGATAGATAGATAGATAGATAGATAGATAGATAGATAGATAGATTATGACTTTTTCATCTCTGCTTCCAGTTTTATAGTGAAATAATTTTATTTATCAGTTATTTGGAATCGCTAAGGATAATGTGCATCAGAATATAACAAGTATGTTGGGCTAAAATTTCCCAGACAAAAACTTAAAGATTATAAACTATCATTTTGAGTTGTTTGTGGGAGAGGTGAGGACAGTTACCATTATTCTAATGAAACTGTCAGGATAGGGCATGGATTTGAATCCAAGATGGCATATGCTGAGGTATCAGTCTTAATTGTTAAGAGACAATAAATTATGGGAAATTCTTTGTTTTTAAGCATCTCAGTAATTTTGTGGCCTGCTTATTTTTAACATTGTCCCTAAGAAAAGGATAAATACACTTATATCCCAATTCTTCCTCCAATAAGCTCAAAGTGCTTAGAATAGGGTTTACAAGCATATTTGATAATACATCAACTGAAGAATATGTTAGGTTTCAGAAAATGTTCAGGATAAATAAACTGGCCTAATTTTTGATTTGTTGTCCTTTTTATATTCAATATTGCATGTGCCATAAAACAAAAAATGTTAAGACAAATGCTGTTGACTTGGATTAGATTCCATATTAAAACAATAAAGCTTTAGGTACAATTATAATAATACCTTGCATCTCTGAAGTTTATTGATAAAATATAATCAAATATAATCAAACATTCAAAAATGAACCCTATTTCCTAATGTAGCTGAATAACACAATGAAAGGTGCTGAAACAGAAGCAGTCATGTTTGTATCAGTTGCATATATGTTTCCTTCTTCTGGTTTCAGTAGAAACCAGAATTTTGTTGACAGTTGAAAGGGCCACTAATATTGGATCCCCATTCCCATTTTCTGAGTATATTTTCAGCCTGATTCTAAACTTCACTAGACAATTTGCTGAACAGGCAATATCTGTAACCGATGAGTTAAATAAATTAAATGTTAACAATATTTTTGAAGGTTGTCAGTCAAGGGAAAACAGCTTTTTGACATTTTGCACATATGCAAATTTATTGTTACCCAAACTTCCATGGACCAGTTCCAACTTTGTCAGATGGCGAAATAACGAAAGTAGTGTTCAGTTAAACTATCTCAATTGTTAATAAAGTGTTGTTATCAGCATACCGAGGACTTTTGCAATCAACAACAAGGGCACATATTCAAACCAAACCAAACCAGAATGTGAGCGAAAAAGAATTGTGAACAAGAGCTGAAGATGCTGGATGCTGTTATAATCACATCAAACATTTTAGAAGCATGGCATCCATGACTGTTGAATCAAATATTTACCTATATGAAAATAGGCATGTGTAGTATCAGTGAAGCAAATAAAAAGCTGATACAGAAAAAGCAACAAAGGTAATACTGATCACCAGCACAAATGACACGATGTTGAGAAGTCTTTCTTTTATACCTTTCTTGTTCTGGTGAATGCAAACTAGTATCAGGCTTCAAGCAGTTAGTACTAGCACTCCTAGCCCTGTCAAGCGAGGGCTGCAGTTCACTAATGCATCCAATGGAAGAGAAGGAGAAGAAAAACAAAAGAAAACAAAGAAAGGAATAGCATGTTAGATATTAAATCAAAGTAATGTTCTTTCTACACAAGATGTTAAGTTACAATAAAGTCATGGAGATATAAAGGAACAGGCTGGATGAAACATGGCAAGAAGATTGTTCAAAAAATATAAAAAGGATAAAAACCAAATTTGGTTGCATAAAATGGCATCATTATGCGGCAATCTTATCCTACGAAGTCAATTTATTGGCTTTCATAAGCAAGATTACAGCTCAGCAGTGGGTAATGAAGCTGGCCAATACCAATATAAAAAGTGGAAAGAAAATATGAAAATAAATATATCTGTATCGTTATTTCTTTGAAGGAAAACAGAACACAAAGTGATGGAATTCCATTGGTTTGAAGGAAAAAGATATTCTACCATGAAGACAATTATTCTAAATAAATAAATACAGGGAAAGATGCTTTGTCTGAAACCTTACCTAACCAACAGTCCTCCTGCAAATCTTGATACATGTGAGTTAAGGCAATTAGGATGAAGTGAATTATCCTGACTAAGCACTGATTTGGCCTTAATATATGCAGGCAGGGTTGAGCTTCACAATTCAAAATAATTCATGAAAAAGAAAAAAAAAGTAAGTTTCACAAAGAATGCAAATCAGAGGAAGAAAAAAAAAAGAAAATACATACAAACTTAAAATATCCAAAACATCAGTGTGGTATAAGCATCAGAGATTGAGGAGAGAAAACTGGTGTGATGATAAACAGTCCTAGGAATATCCTAAGAAAGTAGCCCATTCTATTCAATAGGACATAGAACTGGGTAAGTATGGATAAGTTTATAGATTCCAGCTACAAATTCATTCAGCTGTGCAATGAATGTTTATACTGGAAAATAACTTAAATGGAATTAAAGTTTGACCAAACTACTTTGCTAGGCAGAAGGCTATACTGTTGTCTAAGAAGCGAAGGCAACCATAAAATTATGTTAAATTCATGGTGATATAATAAGGTATTTTCAAGTATCTTGACAATATGGATGTGGTTTGCCATAGACGGCTTTTGCTATTTTTTTTTACTTCCATGTCTAGTACAGGTGGCCCCTAACTTTTGATACAATTGGGTCACTAAGTGATGCCAGGCATAAAGTGAGTCATCACGTCACCAGTCGTTAAGCAAACCAGCTTCCCCCATTGACTTTGCTTGTTGGAAGCCATCTGGAAAGGTGCAAAAGGCAATCACAAGACCTAAGACTTTGTAACCATCATAGATATAAGCTGATTGCCAGGAATCCAAATTGCATTATATGATTGCAGGGATGCTGTGACAGTCATTATGAGGACTGGTCATAAGTCACATTTTTTAGTTATGTAGTAACTTGGAATTTCACTGAACCAATTGTCATAAGTTGAGGACTGCCTGTAAAGAACCCTGCTATTTTGTGATAATCTCCCATCTAAGAACTTGGTGAGGAGTAATCTGGCTTAGCTGTTATAGATCAGCCAAACAAGCTGGGTACTGCAACCTAGCAAAGCATTTAAGAGAAGGTGTGGCTGTGTTATGTGTTAAGTTATGTGTTAAGATAGAGAGGCTGGTTGACAATTCCATTTGAAAAATACGTCCTTTTTTCTCTAGAATTCTATGTGATAATTTCATGTGACAGCAACAGATTTCTTACCTGTAAAGATTCCAGTAAGTGCCATTCTCAAATAAAGGCATCTTGGGAGGTAGTGATTTATAGTGCCTAATAGAATTTCTTGAATGTGACAGAAAAGAAGGGGGAAAGAGCCATGCAAGAAACAAAAATATATAGGCAGAGATGAAACAGCTAGACCAAATAGTAAATTATGATGCAGCAAAACATTCATGTAAGTCATTTGCTGTTTGTTGGCAAATATTGTTAATAATTACATCTACTTGGCCCACTGGAGCAGGAATGTTGTGGGCCCAACTATCAAGGAAGTATACCTGATGGGACCTAGAAAAAAGGTCTTCTCTGTGGTGGTTCTCTACCTTGACAACATCATCCCTCCAGAGATAAGATTATGGACATAAGTGCTTCTTATTGCAGACATAGCAGGGAGGTTTCAACCTCATGTACAGTCAAAAGGGGATGCACTCAAAACCTCATGGTTCTGTTATAATGAACTGATGTATTCACCTTATACCATCTCCAAATGTTTTAAGTTTATACCTCACACATTCCGCAAAGCCTTAAACACATGGTTTTGTCAGCAGGCTTAGGGAATCTATTTAGACCCAATCAAGTGACTTGTCTCATCCTATTATCACCACCATGGAGTGGCGTGCCGGTTAATTGTGTATTTTTAACTGTGTATTTTTAATGCTATACACTGCCTGGAATCACTGTGTCAACTGGACAGCTACATAAATTTGTATGTATGTATAAATAAATAAATAATAAATAAATAAATAAATAAATAAATAAATAAATAAATAAATACTAACGGTGCTTGCTAATTTAATAAAAGTTTAAACTCTAACTATCTATTGAAGTTGTACTGCATCAAAGAAAAGATAAAAAATAGCAACTCACAGTCACTGAATTGTTCAGGAAAGGTTTATTCTTCAATTGCCCATATTTAAGCATAATTCTCAAGTTTATTTTTCCAGTATGTATGTATGTATGTATGTATGTATGTATGTATGTATGTATGTATATTAATAAAATAAAATTGTGAGTATGGCCTGCATGAGATAGAGTGAAGTGTCTTGGAATCTGATTTTCAATTTCAGAAAAGGACCGCAATCTTTTACAAAATAATAACAAACTATTCACCTATCACTTCTATTACTACTATATAATCGTTACATTGATTCATCTATAATATTCTGCTTTCCACATCTATTTTTTTTAAGATGTGACTACCAGGATTTCTTACCAGGTTTCCCTCCCCCTGTGAACAGCATAAGCTTTTGCAAGTTCACTTGCGGTATCTGGGGAAAAAGCATTTGCTGCTACTTTTGTTTATATACTACCGCCTTTCTGCAAATATCACCAAGGCTGTTATTTATTAATGAATTTACAGTTATGGATCAAAAAGAAGGATAAAAATGCAAGATCTGCAAAATAAAAGCCAGTTTGTGGCAAATATTAGGTAGGCTTATGTAATGTCATGGTTTCTGACCATCATTGTTTTGATCACTTTCATATCTTGATCATTTAATCCGATAGGCATAGTTGCCTCATTTGGATAACTAGAGATTAGGGGAGAGAGTAACTCCATCTGCCAAGAGTGATAGAAAGGGCATTTGAAAGTACACATATAGTTGTTTAAATTTCAGCACGTATAAGGACTTTGGACAGGAGTTGTTACAATCTCCCAGTGGATAACCTCAAAGGCAGAGAATCTATGGCTGAATGTGTGAGGTATAAACTTAAAACATTTGGAGATGGTATAAGGTGAATACATCAGTTCATTATAACAGAACCATGAGGTTTTGAGTGCATCCCCTTTTGACTGTACATGAGGTTGAAACCTCCCTGCTATGTCTGCAATAAGAAGCACTTATGTCCATAAAGTTTTGCAATGAATAAGAGCACTTAATTTTACATCAGAAATGATCAGTATATATAAAACAGAAAACTCAAAATAATAAAGCAAAAAAACTAAACAAATAATTGTAAAGAATGAAACATGGAATAATAACCCTGCCATACATTTGAAGGCCTATTTTTGCTTGTAGTTACAGCGCTTGCAACTGATCAATTGCTAAATATGAAATTTGTCCTAACAGAAGCTATAAGATCTAGACATTACAGGATATATAAACATATGAAACAGCTGCTCAGATCCATAGATTTGGATTCATTAAACTCATTCATTGAATCGACTGATGCTTCGGTATAAGAAAACTTTTAAAAATAACTAAACAATTAGGCAGCCTATCATTTGCAGTAGGACTAACAGGAATACTAGTTTCTGAGGAAACAGAATGACTTGTAAAATAAAAAAAGATGTGAAAGACATACACCAGAACTATTTATAAGCAAGCTTAGTTACCAAATGCCTGTATTTACCTGGTAGTATGTAGGCACTCTGCACTTCTTCCTCGTTTTGCCCTGGGCAGCATAAGAAGCTCACTGCACAGACAGGATTGGACGATGAATGAACAGTTACATAAATATGAAGCATTAAATAGCATGAATTTATGCCATGATATGTAAATGAAAACACAAAATAAACCAGAAATTCTGAACTGAGATAGTCCTTTTGATAAGCTTTAAATAATTTTTTATTAGACTACTCCTTTTATATGTCAGCAAAAAGTAGCTATTTACTACATTAGATCAATTTTTTTACAAATAAAGCTTTAGTACAATTAAACCTAATTTGTTTCAACAAATTTCTAAGCAACCTAAATTTACACACTACTGAGCCTTAACATCCAAAACAGTTTTGAAAGTTTTGTTTCTCAAGTCATATTTGGCAGGATTTTCTACTATTTCACATTATAAACAAGTGTAATGAAAGTAAAAGTTTCATTAAAATAAGCACAAAATGCTCAGAGTTAAGAAACATAGCATGAAAGTGTCTCTCTGCTCCTAGAAAAGAATTAGGGAAGCCCAAAAATTACTAGCTATTACTAGCCTTATTAACATACTTAATGTTATGTTTTCAAGGTTGTTTTCATCTGTTCTTGATAGCAAATGCCTACATGTAAAATTTAAACCCTTTAAAAAAAAAGAAAGAAAACAAGGCACCACACATTAATTTTAGCCTGGTCCAGACTGGTGTTTCTTCATTAGAAGCAGCTGTAAGTTACAGAAAACCATGAAACAAAAACAAAGAGAGTAGTTCTTGGGTATAGCATGCATGCTAATAATAATATCTCTTTTTTTAAAAAAAAATGGATAAATAAAAATGAATTCCTCATAAAATAGATTATTTTGTCAAGTAAAGCTTATGTTTATGAAGCTATGACATTATAAAAAAAAACATGTTTACTAGGCAGATAAATTTAAATATTTTTGAGGTAGCAAAACTCTGAACTATATGCCACCATACTATTATGTACTTGGAGAACTATCAGCAATGTAAATTGAATAATAAGATTGACAAAAAGTGTTAACATATAATTCACTGCCATCTGGCGTGCTATCTAACAGCATTATAGTAATCTTAGTAGTAAAACTATGAAATTTAATATTTTACATGTGAACCAAAATACTGCAAAGAATAATAAAGAATAGAGCTATTCCATAAATTCTACACGGAAAATCATAGAACATTGTTCCTCTTCCAATCTTGTCCCCAGGGTATCATTAAAGGAATAGGTATGATGTATCCTTGACATAATAGTTGTCAGATTTGCAAAAGTGCCATCGCATGCCACATTTAGCCTACAAATTCTAACAACAAATTGTTGATGTACACATACAAGCCACAAAGCTGAGATTGCTATGGAGAGACATTAATGTTCCCTTATTTTTTTAATATGTCCTCCCCTAGTTTATCAAAGTGGCAGCTGATTATCCAGAAAGTACTGTTTTTGTAAAATCCAGCAGTCATCATCCTGTTAATTGTACAAATCAGAGCATCAGACATCCCACATTCTGCTCAGAGAGTTCTTAACACATTTCTTACAAAGCACTGTTCAGTTCAGGGTTAGAGTTAGGCTAAAGATGCAAGCCGATCCACTAATTAACTGTTCTCTCTGTCAGGAAATTTCTCCTTAGTTCCAAATGGATCTCTCATTAATGAGAGAACCTGTTGCTTCTTGTCCTACCCTCAGCAGCTTCAGACAATGTCAACCCCCTCCTAGCTGTGGCAATCCCTCAATTACTAGAAAGACAGCATAAAAAAAATGTTTGAGAAATTGGCAGCAAAAACAGTGACTGTAGCGTTCAGTAAGGTAGAAAAGCTCCACAAAGAGGTGGGTAAAAGGATTGCCTTAAGATTTGAATAGTTACTTGGTTGCTGCTGTTATACCGTAAATGCCGGCGTACAAGGCGACCCGGCGTATAAGATGACCCCCGTCTTTATAGCCGGGCCGCATTCCTAGAACGTCGTCTTATACGCCGGAAACTACCAGTATTTCCGGCGTATAAGACGACTCGGCGTATAAGACGACCCCCGTCTTTGGCGCCGATTTCAGCGCTCGCGGAAGTCGTCTTATACGCCGGCATTTACGGTAGATATGAGGACTTTTTTCATCTATTTTAGACAGAAAGTATTTTCAAAGCTGCACTGGTACTTTAATAGAAATATAAAGATAAAAAACATACCCTTCTTGATCTGATAAATACTGATTATCCCTATCTCTGGGTCTGCGGTCAACTGGGCTTCGGGAGGCATCATGGTGTCTAGTTGGAGAACGTGATCTTCTCATTTGATGAATTTCATCTAAACTCCTGGTTTATAGAGTAATGAACAAATACATTAATATAAATGAATGTGTAAAATTCTTAAGTCTGATAACTTTGATGCAAATAGAGGAATATTGATCTAGGAATGCAAAATACATATAATCCAGTCCAGTATAATAGCTTTTTGTAGCCATTTGTTCTCCTGATGTGTTGTGACTAACATTTTCAGAATTTCCAGGTAGTACATAATTAATATTAATATTTAATTTAGTGACTTGATGGTGAGAGAAAACAAAAACCCTTGGCAATATTGCTGAATTCTTCTGGTATTTCCTTGGTGCCCCAAGCTTTTTGGCAAGAGCTCTAGCTCTTGCTCTATAAATTACTTCCTTGACAGGAAGGCCTAAGGACAGTGTGGAACATGATGGTATCAAAAAGTAAAATGTGTTAAGCCAGTGGTTCTCAACCTTTTCAATGCCGTGACCCCAACCGGTCATAAGTCAAGGACTACTCAACCGGTCGTAAGTCGAGGACTACTCAACTGGTGCAGCACCATTTGCAGAATGGGACTTTTGGCGGGCTCAGCAGGGCAGAGACAGCCTGGACAATTCCTATTGGCTTTTGAAAGCCAATAGAATTAGACTCTATTCAAGAGAGTCTATTCTATTGGCTTTCAAAAGCCAATAGAATAAAAGGGAGTAGCACAGCTAAGGAAAAGGAGAAAAAAATGGCGGACTGCATTGTTTGGCGACCCCTGTGAAATGGTCGTTCGACCCCAAATGGGGTCCCGATCCACAGGTTGAGAACCACTGCGTTAAGCAATTGATAGAATAATCTTATTTAGGAAACAGTGAATGAAGAATTGCTTAGTTATAGTCTGTTATTAAGAGAACTACACAAGAATCTAATAATTCTCCTCATGGCAAATTGACCATGGCAGAGGCAACAGTCACCCTCCTGTCAAAGGGAGCACAAAATACCTAAAAAGAATATAAACTTTACATATCTATAACCACAAAAATCTGCTTCTCTCACAGTTGCCACTTTTAAATTCAGATGAATTCAATGGAAAATTGTCAAAAATACTGTAGTGGGGTTCTAGATTACTCCATTTCGTATAGACTAACAGTTAATGTTAGTGCAAGAGTTAATGATGAAGCAGCTACATTTTCAATCTTACCTCTGTAATGGCACATTTGGTAAACGAGAACGGGTCCTGCCCTGATCGTCACCACGGTGAGGAGATACAGATCGTGAACGATGATGAGTTGTTCTTTGCTGTTCTGGCACAGTTAATGTTGCAGATTTACTTTCTCTACTGCTAGACCTATAGCCTACTGGTAAAAATGCAACAAAATTAATTTAGTTTGGATCACAAATAGTAATGAATTAATAATCAGATTGGTCTTTTCAAGAAAGCATCTTTGTTTATTACAAGATTTTCAAATAGCTGTTTCACCAGTGAAAATCCTGAAATATCATGCAACTAGGTCTAACAAATAGCATTATACTTAAATATATATAAGAGGGAAAAGCATAAACATGGGTACAGAAGAATTTACATGCAGACTAAGAAATTCCCAGAGGTGAAAAAATGAAAAAGAACAAATATAATATCTAAATAATAATTAGATATTAATTTCTAGGATGGTCAGTTTTTCAAATCTTCAGTATTTTCAGATGAAATCTGTACATCTTTGACTGCAACACTGAAACAATGTTATTGCCCAAATTACTGCAAGCAACAGAATAGTTTGTGAGTAATTGTTCTATGATTGAAGCTTCAGTTTCATTTTCAGTTAAGTTAGCTGCTGATGTGAATACGATACAAAATTCACTTAAGAAAGTACTGCTCAACGCTGAAAAAATCAGTAGAACTTCCTTTGCCCAGAATTAAACGTTTTTGCTATCACTATCACAAAGTATTGTTAGTGGACCTAGCACATAAAAAACAATAGACAAAGAAAACTATAACTAAAGGCCATCAAAATTGCAAATTAGTTACAGAGCTTACAATATGAATGCAGACATGAATGATGCCTTCCACTGAAATAGCAAAAGCCATACATGGCTTCTTGTTGAAAGAAAATTTACATTTTGTTCTCCTATAGGAAGAACTATGTATGCACGGGAAGCATGATGAACCAATGGAGTTCAAAAAGAAAATCTTTCAAAAGGTGAAAAGATACCAACTCGCAATCAAGTTCTTCTAACAATAAGAAGAAAAGGCCTGAACTGTAGCATAAATAGCAGCAGGCTACTTAAATCAATCCTTTAGGTGAAGGAACAGTATATAAATTAAATATAGTGGTTCTTAAAGAACCTCAGCTTCTAAGGAAGAATACAAAGGAGTTTATAGGAATCCTCATGCAGAATATATTCCATACTTGTCTCTCATAAATTCTGTGTGATTGCTTTGTGAATGGAAGATGATTTTTGACATGGATAAAATAATTGCTTATGATGTAAATTATGAAATAACTTTCCCTGTTTAATTATATTTATGTTAAAATGCATCCTTATCTGCAAAACTAAAACTATCAAGGATTTTTAAACATATACATTAGAAAATGGAAATATATATCAGTGATGGCGAACCTTTTAGAGACTGAGTGCCCAAACTGCAACCCAAAACCCACTTATGCATTGTCGTGTGGTGGGCGTGGCCCATTGGCTGGGCATGGCCCATTGGCTGGGCGTGGTTGCAGTGGTAACGGTAGACTGGGTGGGAGTAAAAAGTTCAATCAATCAATTCCAACTTTGCAAAATCTTTTTGTTCCTGCGAGAAGTTGAAATTGACTGATTGAACCTTTTTTTGGGGGGGTACACGGCGGCGGAGGCCTAAAGCGAAAAGGTTTTATAAAACCCAGCTGAAAGCCTAGGACTGGGGCGATGGTGCACGTGCCCACAGAGAGGGCTCTGAGTGCTTTTATTCAATAGCCTATGTTGCCAATAGACAGTATAAAGACAGCATTGTATGACAAAAGGTAACAACATATGGATTAATTATAACAATATAACTGAGTTTATTAGCTTATTTATTAGTAAGCTAATTTAGAGAAGCTCAACTATTGTTGAAGAAAAATGACAAAATAGATGATTAACTATTATGACATCTTTCTTGATTTTCAGTTAACAGAGCACTGCATTCTTTAACATAATTAACACCTCCCAAAAATACGGTAGAATGAATTTAGGTGATATACTGTTCTAGGGTTGTTGGACAATGTTGTTGTATAATGTGCATTAATATATACTAGCCAAAATAGCATTGGTAACCATACTAGCCAGTCATTATTTCAAATAGAAAAAAGTAAGAATAACTAAAATTCTTTCAAACTGTTTATTTCAGTTCATTATCTGGTTGAAATATCTGATTGAAATGTGAAGTTGGGTCTAATGTTTGTTTTTTTGAACATATTTTTCAAATCAGGCTATGACTGGCTGCAGGAAACATGCAACATTTTCTGTATTTGTAGAATTTTGATTTTATCTTTTTACAGAAATTACATCTTGTTTTATGGATATATTTAAGATAAATAAAACTAATTAATGTTTGTAAGAATTATAAAATATATCGCCATGCTTCATGCACTACATACAGCCATGCATTTTCAATATGTTCCATGGTGCACCTATCTAGCTTGAAAACAAGAAAAATTAATTGAGATTTTTATTACTTGGACTATACATTTGAATATATTTTTGTATTATCTTTTATTTCAAAACAGATCTTTAACCCATGATGCCTACATTTTGTACAAACAGGTTTATTAGTTGTTTACATTGGTATCAATATTAAATATTAATATTGTAACAAATCATTGCCTCTGACCATTCTCTACAGCTGTAGTAGAATGGAAGATTAATTTTAATTCAGGATCAAATAAATTTTAGAATGTGTCACCGTGGAACAATACAACATGCACCTTTCTAGAAAACATGATCTCCCAACTCAAGTTCTTTCAAAAATCTAAAAAATTCAAACTTGGAAGAGGAAAAGGGACAGGGAAGTGGAAGCAAAGGATGTAGGACCATGCTCTTCACCCACGCACCTGAAGGAACTACTCCAATACCATCATCAACCTCATTATCTGAGATGTCACTATCACTGATTCGCTGAGATCCTGTGCAACAGTAAGGCAAATACTGTATACTTGATACTTTTGCAAAAGGTTAAAATATGTGTAAGCAAAAATTATTTGGGAGAGTTAAATAAATGGGATGCATTCAGAACTAAAAAAAAGAGATAATAATAATTGTGTAAAAAAAGCTATTGCAAAATGGCTCAGAATCAGAACATATTTTCATCTGTGCTACTAGCTATAGTTCCAAGCATATTGTGACATTACAATGACTCATTGGATTGTAGCATTTATTGTGAACTTGCCCATACAGAGACCTGGTATATCTGATTTCACATTACTTAATTGCTACTGTATATATCTTATCCTATATATCAAATGTACCTCATACTTCTTTCTCCTATTTTACCCACAACAACCCGCCAGGTGTGTTGGGCTGTGATTGGCCCAAAGTCACTTGGCTGGCTTTCACGCTTAAGGCGGGACTACAACTCAGTCTTCTGAGTTTTGCCTTAACCACTGCACCATAACTGGTTCACTAAAGTTCATACATCATATTAAACCAAACCAAACCAATTCACATTATGGTTTAGTGCAACATGTGAATCCAATGATCCACACAAGCAAGTACAGACTGACGTTTAAGTTATTATGGGATCGATGAGTATCCATAAATTATAGCTGAGCCAAAAAGGACAACAGTTTCCATTCTCATGTTAACTGTGAACCTAAACCATCTAATGAAAAAAGTTAAGAGGTAATGAAATTGGACAGTATTGAAAATCTTATTGACAAATCATCAAAAGAAAAGCTGCTGAACATAGAGGCAGCAACAAAGCACTCCTAGCAGACATTTCTTGACCTCAAAAATGAAAGTAGGAAGCATTCCTCTTACTTCGTCAGATTTCGGGATGATGGCAATATAGCCAAGTCTGGTCTTTGCAAACACTATCATAATAATTACAATCACAATATTATGCATGCCCTTTTAAAAACAAGTCCTACTCAGTTTAAAGAACCTGATTTTCAGCCTAAAAAGGTTACTTTCCTATGGAAGTTCTGAAAACACTGAGACGGCATGATTTAAATCTTAGTGCAGATCTTTGAAACCCATACGTTTTACTGAATGTAGTTGCTTAAATTATTATAAATGTTTACATCATAATTACTAGTCAAAAAGTTCTATCAAAATGAAAGCGGAATTCTGCACCTACTTTGCAATTTTTTGCTGGAATTTTCTCCACCATGGACATGTCTCCTTGGCATGAAAGGTGATGGCTGAGGAAGAGGTAGTGAGGATTCATCATGGGTCTGCAGCTTATACCAATGTGGATCATCGTCTAAAAGTGCAGTCTCCAACTCTATGAGAATCTATGAGAAAGTACAGCAAAATTAATTTTCGTTTAACAAGAGGAACAAACTGCTTCAAGATTCTGTTCCACATTTAAAATAAAATGATGGCACATGCACATTCACCTCTCCGAGGAAGTCACTTTCTTCTTCTTGCACTCTTGGCTGATCCCAAACAGTGATTTCTAACATCCGTTCTCTAAAATCTTTACGGTGCACATGCGAATAGAGAAATGTTTGGTTCCATTTTGGTTCTAAGCTTTTCTTTACTGTTTTTGTCCTTCTTTTACTCTTATCGCTGAAACATAAAAAGTCACTGTAAATCATCATCAGAAATCCAGATATGTATTTCCATCCCAGGCCTTAAGCTTCATGATGAACTACAGTTATGATTCCAGTGTTTTCACTTCCCACTGTAAAGAAGCAAGGGAAGATCCCCTATTCAGCTGATTAGCTGCTTCAAACTCAATAACCCAGCAGCACTGTAGAGTTGAACACTATAAAAGATTGCTGTGGTTGGATTCACAGCTTAGTAAGTGAAATGGTTGATCAAGGGACAGACAGAATGAATCCATTGAGACAGTTACCGTATTATCCACCATAAGTAATTTATTATATAAGAAACGGTTGCTGGAATTGGGTATGTCTAGTTCAGGGGTATGCAACCCAAAACACTCAAAGAGCCACTTGGACCCGTTTCCCACCAAAAACAAAACACCGGGAGCCGCAAAACCCTTTTGATATCTAAAATGAAGATAACACTGCATATATCCTTTTTTACCTTTATTATAGGTGTGTGTGTGTTTGTGTGTGTGTATGTATGTGGGTGTGTGTGTGTGTATGTATGTATATATATATATGTGTGTGTGTGTATATATATATATATATATATACACACACACAACACATACATACATACATACATACACACACACACACACACACAGGTAAAAAAGGATATATGCAGTGTTATCTTCATTTTAGATGTCAAAAGTATCTCTCTCTCTCTGTCTCTCTCTCTCCCTCCCTCTCTATCTGCCCTTGGTCTGCCACTCCTCTTCCCCCACTCTCTTTCTTTCTCTCTCTCTTTCCTCTCTCTCTCTCTCCCTCCCTCTCTCTCTCTTTGTCTCTCTTTCTCCTCCCCTCTCCTATCTGCTGCTCACCTGGCAAGCTTCAAGCTGTTGTCCACAAGCTCAGGAGTAGGCAACCTCGTCTCTTTTATGACTCATGGACTTCAACTCCCAGAATTCCTGAGTCAGCCTACCTGGGCTAGCTAGCTCTCTCCTGCCCTTCCTGCTTCCTGCAGAGACGCAGCAAAGGGAGCAGCTCCGCCCAGTAAGCTTTTCAGCTCCTCGGAGAACACTGTGAGTGCACGGTCTTTTACACATACACATACACACACACAAAAACACAAACACACACACACACACAGAGAGAGAGAGAGAGAGAGAGAGAGAGAGAGAGAGACAGAGACAGAGACAGAGAAGCAGGGAAGCGCAATTGCTTCTCTCTGTCTCTGTCTCTCTCTGCAGAGGCAGAGGAGGCTGGGAGCCACAAGGGGAGACTCAAAGAGCCGCATGCGGCTCCGGAGCCGCAGGTTGCCGACCTGTGGTCTAGTTTAACGAATAGAAGGACGAGGGGGAACATGATAGCAGTGTTCCAGTATCTCAGGGGCTGCCACAAAGAAGAGGGAGTCAAGCTATTCTCCAAAGCACCTGAAGGAAGGACAAAAAGCAATGGATGGAAACTAATCAAGGAGAGAAGCAACCTAGAACTAAGGAGAAACTTCCTGACAGTTAGAACAATTAACCAATGGAACAACCTGCCTCCAGAAGTTGTGAGTGCTCCAACACTGGAAGTGTTTAAGAAGAGACTGGACAGCCATTTGTCTGAAACGGTATAGGATTTCCTGCCTGAGCAGGGGGTTGGACTCGATGACCTCCAAGGTCTCTTCCAACTTCATTATTATTATTATTATTATTATTATTATTATTATTATTATTATTATTATTATTACTACTACTACTACTACTACTACTACTACTACTACTACTAAATTAAATATTATTATTAACACATTAAAAACACAGCAAAAATGTAAACAAGTATAAACATTATTTGGACAACCATATAAAATGAAATAATATAAACACATAAATAATAAGAAAATCTTAGCCAGACTCTATGCCAGTGGTTCTCAACCTTTCTAATGCTGCGACCCCATAATACAGTTCCCTATGTTGTGGTGACCCCCAACCACTTATACATCACCGGGTGCCAGGGGCGTGGCCAAAGAAAAGGGGGAAAAATGGTGGACAGCCTTGTTTGGCGACCCCCGTGAAATGGTCGTTTGACCCCAAATGGGGTCCCGACCCACAGGTTGAGAACCACTGCTCTATGCTGTTTTTTGGTATAAAGGTTATAATTATTACATTATTCAAGGAAAATAACTGTCGGCTAGTGCTGGCCTTCAGAATATCCTATTGCACATCAATTAGCAGACTTCTGACCCAGTAGTATAAAGTAGATGTCAACATTTAATGCTAATATTACACACAATTGACTTCTGCTTGTAGGAAAAATTGGGGTGGGAAAAAAATGGAACTGATAAAGTTATGGAAAAAAATGGATTATTCCAGAACAGTGTTTCTCAATTTTGTCGACATTAAGATGTGTGGACGTTCATTCCCCAAATTTCCCAGCCAGCCTGCTTAAAGTTGCCAAGGTTGAGCAACACTGTTCTAGAACAGAAGATATGGTAAAATAATGCATCGTCCTTTGCACCTGAATACTTTGGTGTTGTTTAGAAGACAGATTCTGATTTGCATCAAAGAAAATAAAATTAAAAACTAGCCACTAACCCTTCATCAAGAGGAATAATATTGAAGTTGCAACGAATTTCACAATTAAAGGGCTTAATTGAGATGCTTCAATCTGTACAATACAGTCTTTCATTTGAAGTCTTACCTTCTATCTGGAAGAAAATACATTTTCACATATGGGTTTCTTGGTCGTCCATCTATTCTAGGTGGCAGATCTGTTGCTTGAAGAACATTCACTATTAACTGATGCCCCACTTTATCATACCACAGTTTAACCTAAAATATTAAAAGAGCTCTACATTATCAATGAAATATGTCAATTTGGGTTTATTTTTATCTACATTAGACTGATAAAGGAAGCAACAATACATTCATTAAATAATAGAAAACATACAAGTAATCCATTGGATTTATGGGAGATAATTTGGATTAGAAATGTTAAATTTACACAAGCCCAAAATTTGAAAGAAAATTTTTATAAAATGTTTTATAGGTGGCATTTAGATCCTAAAAAATTATCTTGTGTGTATTCTAACTTACAACCCAAATGTTGGAGGTGTGGTAATACTGATGCAACTTATTTTCATGTTTGGTGGAATTGTAAAAAGGTTAAGGCTTTTTGGATTATGATTTGGTGGAATATTCAAAAGATTTTTAAAAGGAAGATAAAGTTTACTCCTCAATTATTTTTATTGGGTATTTTTACGGATTTAGATGTTAAAGAAACTATTTTGATGTTGAATTTATTAACTGCAGCAAGGTTATTAGTAGGTTTATATTGGAAGAAAGATTCATTGCCTACCTTAGAAGAATGGATACTTAACATTTCTAATTTAGCAGAAATGGCTAAAATTTCTGCTTATTTAAAGGATCATACACAAGAAAGATATATTATGGTATGGAGAAGATGGATAGATTATATTCAGAATAAATATGGAACTCAAAAGTTCCATTTATTTTATGATTAAAATTTTATAACAAGTGTTTTATAAGAGATTTGTTTATACTATCATGATGTTAAAGTTTAAGGGGAGTTAAGGGTTAAGTATGAATTTGTTTATTATATAATATTTTTATATAATATATGTTGATTTTGTTTATTTTGTTATTAATAACCCTGTATTCTGCTCTGGGGGGGTGGGGGGTGGGAGTGGGGGGGGTAAGTAGGTTAGATAATAGAATTAAAGTAAGATATAGATAGGGTAATTTATGAGAGAGGTGTTGCTTGGTCATTTCCCTGGTACTGTATCCAAAGAGGGATGAGAGTGGAGGAGGAAGGGTAGGGAGGAAGTAGGATGGTAAGAGAAGAGGGGGAGGGGAGAGAGAGGTGAGGGGAGGTGAGAAAGAAGAGGGAAGTAAAGGAGAGTGTTAGAGAGGGTGGATGCAGTTTGGGGGGAGGTGGGCAAGCAAAACTTATGGTTATGTGTATGAATTTATTTTATTTTGTTAAATGTGAATTTTTATATTTATGTAATTGATAAATGGAAAATAAAACTTTTAAATAAAAAAAAGAAAGAAAACATACAAGTATTTCTTCTCCACATTAAACCCTGTCTATGATATGCTACCTTCAACTAAAATATCTTGATCTAAGGAAACTGATTTGAAAGGAAATCTGGGAAGTAAAAAAAATGGAGGAACTTTTCCCATACAAATTATGATTAAGCTACAAAATGCACTAAAAATGGGATTTTGTAATGTCTGTTAGATTGCTTTTAAATGGGATTAGACAGCTTCATGTAGGATGAATCTATAAATGAGTATGTATATTATCTATATGTGACTTCCACTCCAAAGGCAGGTTCTTGGCAGGCAACAACAGGAGAGGATTATTCTTTAGATTCTACTGTATAAGAGGACAACTGAAGGCAGGAATTAATATCTGAAGGTGCATGGTACAATGTACCCAGCAGCCCAATCTATTGAATCAATTTACTCAGTCAGCTATGTCATATTTTTTTAAAGCTGAGAGTTTACTTCAGTGATTGTAATAGGTAGGAAAACTGTACAGGATGGATCTGAGTTTATTGTTTTTGCCATCTTTCACATCAGCTACCATTTTGTACATATCATTCCCATTCCCTGCCCTGTAAGACAGTACACTGCCATTCCCCAAACAACTTTTGGGGAATAAGCTTCCAACAGAGCAATTAAATATCACCATGTAGCATTGTCTGTATATGTGTGTGTGTGTGTGTGTGTTTGTATGGATCTGTGTTCATATTTCGATAGATGCACATGTGAATAAAAGTGGGGTCAGTGGCTAGTGAGTGGCTAACATAAAGAGGAACCATTCTTATAGCAGGACTGAGTTTGAAGTTCATTTTTAAAAATTGGTTCTCATAACATAGGATTGGTCCTGTTGTGTAAGTACATGCCAAAATATTTTCTGAGGAATAGATTATTATGGAAAAAATATGGCACCTAGGAGTTGAAAATGAGTGATAACACACAATCAATCAATCGTTTTTAATGCTATGTTGTAGGCATACACATATGCTTAGTTAAAATGCAGTAAACTTACATTTACCAAACAATGTAAATATAAATATTGCGAGATATCTACGAGCAGACAGAATGTGTTTTCTAGCACCATAATTCTATACTTACTGACAGTTGCCCAGGTAGGACTTGTGGTGCATCTTTTAAAGCTCCAGGGCTTGTAGGGGAAATAACAGAAATTGAAGGCCGTTCCATTTTTTGAGATTCAAATGAGCTAGAACCTAGAAAGAGAAGGAAGAAGATAGAATAATAATAAAGAATTTGAAAGAAATTATCTTAAAAGAAGAAGGTATGAGTGAACAAGAGAGCACTAGCCAAAATAACAACAATGATAGCAACAATAACAATAACGGAAATAACTGGCCCTTCCTTTTTTGCCCTATCTGCAAAAGAAATGGTAGAAAGAAAAAAAAAGAAAAAAGAGAACAAGAAAAATTAAATGAAATAAATGAAATAAAAAGACTTAAATACTTAGAAATGCCAAAATATATTACATTTTCAACAAAACATTAAGTTTTAAATACTTGTAAACACAATATAGCTTTTGAGCAAGGAGAGCTATTGAAACTTATCAGTCATGGAAATCAAATATAATTCCTCTATATATTATATTCCTAATATAATAGTTTACATTTATTGTAGTCTATACACGAGGAGATAAATTTGCTACAACATGAGGAAAGCCCTGATACAGTAGATTTTAAAAGAAAGGGATAGAGAAATGTTTGCAGTTCTTTTGCGAAAGATAAGGAATGATAAGGAATTTCTTTTTTAAAAAAGTGTCAGAAAAATGAGTATTTGTTCCTGGAGTTATTTCTCAGTTGTACTATAATGGATAATTGTGACACTAGAGTTGTGAAAGAAAGGAAGAAAAGAAAGGAAGAAATACTAAAGTTGAAAATTCACTCTGTACTGCTCTAAAAATTACGCATTTGTTTTCCAACAAAGAATCTAGTTTATATTCAGCCAAAATTTCTTGTGTTACGCCTAGAATGGTGGAATTTGGACAACCTCAGCTGACAAAATGGAAAATTAAGCCACATGATATTATGTCTTCTTTTCTGGGTTTGAAAATCAACATTAAACTAGAACTCTAGTTCAGAAAACTCTGGAAAAAGGGGAGAGAAAAAATGCCAGTTCTCATGATTATACTTTAGGCTGGCGAGAAAGAGTTCAAAGTGAACAGTTAAAGTCAATTTGTATGATCAAACAGCATATATTGGTAACTTTTGTTCAAAACGAAAGCATGTCACAATCTTGTAATATGACTGCTGTTGACCAGTTTGTATCATGAGTCAGACAATGCAAATGGTTTCCCTGGTAGTATGTGCTACAGCTATTTATTGTCCTATGTATTTTAGCATGAATCTTGCAGACTATCATTTGGTATGAATAAAATATATACAGCATGACTACCGTATTTTCCGGCGTATAAGACGACTTTCTAAAGCCTGGAGATCGGCGCCGAAGTCGGGGGTCATCTTATATGCCGAGTCGTCTTATACGCTGGAAATTATGGTAGTTTCCGGCGTATAAGATGACTTTCTAGGCATGGAAATAGGCGCCGAAGTCGGGGGTTGTCTTATACGCCGAGTCGTCCTATACGCCAGAAAATACGGTAAGTATAAAAAATCACTGTGGATAGAGGGATGACTGTGCTGGTAAACTAAGTAATACTGAATGAAAAGTTATGAATCAACATTGTTCAATCTCAGCAGTTGGAACAAAATCAATACTCACTAGACTCTAGTGGAGGATGAGAAGTTTCGGGAATCCTTGGAATGTCACTGAAATACACATGTATAAATAAAATTTTGAAATGCCTGTTGATCTACAGAACAATGTTATAAACTAATTTTAGTCCATATATACAAGTATTAATGCTATTTAATAAAGAGGTTAAGACCTTGAATGTTTATTCAAAAAATTTTTTTTTGATTCCAGATTTAATGCTTTTGACATATCTCTTTTAGACAGTTACTTTTCTTGAATTTGCTCAATTTCTTAAGAAAGATGGGAATTCACCTCTCTTAAGGAATATGATTTGAAAATGATACGAACAGCAATTTCAATGTAAATATTTATATTCTGGTTTGGCAGTCCGCAATATTTTTCTTCCAGACACCAGGAAAAAGTAAATAGGAGAGGAATGAAACTACAAAATACTAATTTGAAGGGGGGAATTCACTAGAAATGTTTATACACACACCTGAAGGAGTTTGCTGAATTAAACCTACAAAAGAACCTTATAATAACAGAGAGAGAAACAGAAAAGAAACTTGGAAACAGTTAGGCAAGCAAACATAATCCCCATTTTTAAATGCATGTTACAATATACATGGAAACACACCTAATTTCATTTATATAACTAAATATATCATACTGGATTTTAATCCAGAATGACTTCTAAAATATAAACTATAAGATTTTTTACCTTTAAACCCAAATGATCCAAGGAACTTTTGTTATACAGGAATTCAGAAAGATCCTAGATATGATCCTGCCTTTAATTTAATTTAAATGCCATTATTATAGACTACCACCCTCCGTAAGACTCCAGGCCTTTTAAAACATTGAATTAAGAACAATAACACCAACACTAAAAGAACAATATAGTGAGTGAAATGGTCTTCCCACCCAGCATCCAGTAATAGCAGCAATCTTAGAATTAAAAGCTCTAGAAGGAAGCTTAAGTCTTTCCCACCTTCCTAAATGAAGGAACAGTGTGTGAGGAATTCCAAAGGGAGGAGCTATTTTGACCCATTCTCCTGACAATCTTCTACAGACTTACACTGGGGAGGAGGGAATCAACAGCTGATATATTTTTATGAGATAATCCTGAATGTATTCAGGCAGAAGCTATTAAGGGCTGCACAGATGATAACCACCTGATTATTATCTGCAGCCAATGTTGTGTAGGCAACACTGATAGTATATGATTATGGTGGCCCTCACTCATTGATAAGAAGGCTGCTGGGTTTTGCTGTAGCTTCCTGATAGTCTTTAAGAGAAGCCCTTGGCATAGCACATTGCACTGTTCTATCCTAGACGGGATGAGGGCATATTGCAGTTAACAATTCAGATAGATACATGATGGTGTGCTTCATAACATAACATTCATCCTTTCCCAGCTGATTTAGCACATTGGGAGAGGAAAGGTAAAAATGAAGTGGTAATTAATAGAAAATAGACTGGATCCAAACTTGGTAACATCTACCATAGAGCCATTAAAATAAATGGATCTTAAATTAGCTTCAGTAAATCTGAAGAAGCAGTATAGCAGGAGATGTCTAACTGGTGATGAGATCTCTACCCAAATATACAAAACATGACATATATTAGTAAGAACATTTTCTCCTTATAGTTAACATTATACCTGAAGCTTTCCAAACTTGATGCCAAGGACTTTTGTCTTGAGAATCCAATGTTAAGGTTGCCCCTTCATTCTTGTTTACTTTACATTTTTAGTATGCCAATGTGTATCTTATTGTAATATTATATGCTTTTATATGACATGCCTGCATTTATGAGAGAGAAGGGAGAGAGAGACAGAGAGAAAGAAAGGGGAGGAGACTAAGAAAGAAATTGCAAAGCAAACTTTACCCAATAGGCCTTGAAACAATAATTTCAACTTGAGGTTCTGATTTGGATTCTAAAATAATATTGTAAACTTCTTCATTTGTAGCTCCAGGAAGTGGTTTACCATTCCACTCTAGAACTTCATCACCTGGAATTTAAAAACAAAGGATACATTCTTTTGTATGATTTCACTCACGGAGATACATGCATAAACAAATATAAATTGCTAGATTCTTTTCTAGGCCATATCTGTGGATGTAAATTCAAAGATAATAAAACTCTGCAATCTTCTGACATCAAAACACCAAGCTGTCACCAAAATTGAAATGGCTTGGCAGAAAGATGTCAGGGAACCTAACTGGGCAATCATCTAGTTCTGCTATCACACATCACAACATGCAATAGGGCCAGTATAGGTAGTTAGAGCCTAGCATGTGCTATTAAAGAGGAAGAATTTGATACCATTCTTCTTTTCTCTGTACTAGTACCAGGACTTCTTAATCAGTATATTCAGTCAGTCAATCAGTCTGTTTGTCTGTCTCTCTATCGTTGATTGATCACATTGTAAGCTTCCAGAGTCACTTCAACAGGGAGGTGGGCAGCATATAAATTTAATAAATAAATTTAATAAATAAATTTTAATAAATAAATTCAGCCAAGAGCAGAAGATTAACCAGGCAACATGAGGCAGACTAAAATCTATTTAAGTGATTTTAGTATTTAATTTTCTCAGGAGGTCTCAGATTTTGTTCTGTCAGGCTGTGAGCAGCTTGGCCATTTTGATATTAGACTGCAATGCAGCATATTTCCACTGTAACACAGTTGGTTGATTTCTTATTATCTCAAGGCAAAACCTGGTTTCCTTCCTTTAGCCGAGCAAATGTTTTTGCAGAGCTCTTGGGCTTGCAAACGCTTCCCATTATTCTTTATAACAAATCTCTGGTGCAGAAAAGGTCATTTCCTTCTTTCTGCCAAGATTTTTTTTTCTGCTTTAAAAAGAATAGTACGATCCAATATTTCTGCAGTTTTGGTTTACAGAAAGGTGCCCTTTGTTCATTAGCAGACATATATAGCCAATGTTACAAAGAATCTCATGCATGGATTTTCATATAAAGTTTATGGAAATTAGTCCAGAATTAAGGTTTTGTTTTGTTCACATAAACTGAAGTAATATCAATATTTAGATTATACATATTTTTTTCAGTTCTTTATACCTTTCTGTCAGATATAACTAAGATCTATATGCTCTTAGAGACATAACTTTATATATTATAAAAATAGTTTTAGCATATGCAGATCTTTACTTTGTGTACAGAGTACTTCTAAAAGTCCATCCAATAAAGACATATTTAACCAATAAAACTAGGCTCAGCTGAAATAGATAACCCTTACCTTGCCCCTAGTAAGCTGAAATATTTACGGAAGGAACTATACACTGAAACTGCAAATATAGTACACAACAGTAGCATTATACAGGTTTTGAGAATATTAAGACAAAATCATTCCCATAACTGAGATACCTGCTCTTAGATGTCCCACCACATCAGCCAAGCTACCTTTCTTTACTTTGGTAATGAAGGCACCAAGTCGTCCTAAATCGGTCATTTTTCCTCCTACAACCTGAAAATAAATATGCCACCTTTCAGAATACCAAACTGGATTTTAACTAAAATAATGGGAATCTATATTCAGTTCAATGCCTTTTACTTATATAACCACAGAAACCTTGCATCTTTCAGAGGAGGATAATTGCTTGTGCAAAGTTGATACTTTATATAGATTTTTTAAGAGATCCATATTCATGTGACTACTTAAACTTGCAAAAACTTCAGCTTAAGAACCCTTACTGCTGAATAACTGAGAGGCACTTCTGTTCTTGCAGAAGTGGAACTTACCTGTTTACTTTGTCAATCCAGGAAAACTGTTTGTTGCAAACATTTAATTACCAAAACAGGCAATATTTTTGTTGGTTTTTAACCTTATGTTTGCTGCCCAGAGTTGCAACTGATTAAGATTGGCAACCATCTAAACCAGGGGTCTTCAAACCTGGCCCTTTTATGACTTGTGGACTTCAATCCCAGAATTCCTCAGCCAGCGTGCCTGGCTGAGGAATTCTGGGAGTTGAAGTCCACAAGTCACAAAAGGGCCAAGTTTGAAGACCCCTGATCTAAACCAATCAATAGGAAGCATCATCACAGTAATGGAGTTTCCTGGCTTTTTATGTATGGAGCTGGTCTGACCTATCTTACTTAAAGTTGTGTGGGTGCCTTCTGATTGGCCTACCTACTTGATCTGGCTGTACTGTTTCATCTTAAGAGTGTTCCTTTCATTGTTTTTGTTCTCACTGATATGCGTATTGATTACTGGGTATGTGATGGGGAGGAAAGGAGAATATGCTCTGGGCCTTTGCTTTCTTTTTTAAATAGTAGTATACTAGGTTTGTCTCTCTGTGTCTGCTAATGGTTGATGTATGAGAATACCAAGCTATTATGAATTCTCTTGCTTTCTTGGATTTGGCTTGATCTAAAACACTTAGTTTTCCAATTGAATTTATGGTTCAATTTGCTGATGTGTCATGAAATTAAAGAATTTATATCAAGTCTTCTGGCTGCTTCCTGGTGTTCACATTATGCTAATCTTCTGATAGTGACTTTCACAGTTTTTATATGGTATGTTGTAAATAATTCCTGTTCTGCCTTTTTGTAGTTATTGGATTTAGGGCAGGGGTGTCAAACTGCCGGCCCGCAGGTCGGACGCATCATCAGGAAACCGCGCCCACCCCATTGCTGGCAATGGAGAAAAAGCTCTGATACGTTGTGCGACATCACGTGACGTCGCAAGTTAGACATGTCTGATTTAGGGGATTGTCTAAGAGAGATTGGAGAGATTGCTGCTGTGATGTTTGCATACAGTATCTTCTAATTTGTTTATGTATCTATCCATCAAACTGAAAGTAAGTGATGTGGCAAAGGTTTATCAGTTCTATGATTCTAGCTTTTTTCAGTTTTATACACTTGGCTAGGTTTGATGCTTTATATAGTAAAACTTCAATGGATATTCTGCCAGTGTTGAGTATATGGAGGTAAGAATGCTGTGACATCAAATTAGACAGTGATTTTATCTTTCACAATTGTTAAGCCTTTAATTTTCTCAAGGCATTAAAGTTGCATGTTCTATGAGCTATTAAGTTAATTGGTGAGTTCTCTGGTTAAATTGTTTGTTGGGGTAGTATTCCTCGTACGTGGCAAGGAATCTGAAATTTAGTTATATATTTATATTTCTAAAAACTAGGAATTCATGGAGAAAAAAAAAAGAGTGGTTGCTGACCTAACTGAATTATAAATAAATTTGTACCTACCCCAAGTACTCTGAAGAGGCAGAATGCTAGAAAATACCACATTTTTTGTATCAGCTTCCATTTAATATTTAACCCAAATGCTAACCAATTATTAACTAATGTACCAATTCAAATTCAAGTGCATAGATCTGAACAATGCACTATACCAGGGGTCAGCAAACTTAAACACTCAAAGAGCTACTTGGACCCGTTTCCCAGAGAAAAGAAAACACTGGGAGCGCAAAACTTGCACGTGCGAGGGGGGGAGCTTGATTGAAGAGTTTAATTAAAAAGAAATAAAGGCTGCTGTGCATGAGTTCTCCCTCTCTCTCTCTCTCTCTCTCTCTCCCCCCTCTCCCTCTCTTTGTCTCACTCTCTCTCTCTCTCTCTCTCTCTCTCTCTCTTTCTGATCTTCTGCTCACCTGGCAAGCTGGCTTCACACTGTTCTCCGACAAGCTGACACACATTCTTATTGGGCTGGCTCTCTCCTGCCCTTGGTCTGCCAGTCCTCTTCTCCCACTCAGAGAGAGAGAGAGAGAGAGAGAGAGAGAGAGAGAGAGAGAGAGAGAGAGAGAGGGAGAGGGAGAGGGAGAGAGAGAGAGAGAAGGGAAGCGCAAGTGACTCTCTCTCTGTCTCTGTCTCTGCAAATGGCTGAGGAGGCTGGGAGCTGCAGGAGAAGGCTCAACAAGCCACATGTGGCTCCGGAGCTGTGGGTTGCCGACCTGTGCACTATACAATAACTTAACCACACTGTTTGGGTCATACATTACACAGAGCCACAAACTGGCAAAATACAATTTAGCTATGCATATTGTGTGAACTCAACTTTAAAAATTAATAAGTTTGGCCCAGTTTAATTTCTGCTTCTTTTTCATCTCAAGGTCGTACTTGAATGATAGACTACTTTAAAACCTTGCTAAAAAAGAACTTAATAATTTCAGCCAAAGGCAAGTCTTCTTACAAAAGATTAATGGTAACAGGTTTACAGTATAGTGTTCAAGGCACTTACTTTGAGTCCCAGTAATGCACCTGACTCTTTTGGCATAGTTGTTCTCTTGTTGAGAATAACACGACCAATTAATCGATCTCCCTCTTTAGATGGTTGCCAAGTTACAGGATGCTATTATATACAAATACAGGAAAACAAATGAATTGAGAAATTGTTTTTGTATTAAAGACTTTGGGTTTCTACTTTTATAGTGATCACCTATTTTTATTACTTGCACTCATTATTTACGTGGATTGCTAGCTCCAAAATTAAAAAAAATGCATTATGTTTAACAACTAAAAATGTAAATCATATTTAACAACTTGCAACCAATAAGTATATTTCAGCTCATAAAAGGCATCTTTAACAAGACAATTCCAGATATCCCTATTACAGCAAAGTGTACAGCAGACACAAACACACAAACACACACTTGAATGAAATCTAATTCCTTTCATTTCTAGTAAGGAAATTTATGGGAGATAACACCATTCCATCCTCAACCAGGTTAAGGAATTTATTTAATGCTTTGTTCATTGAATTTCCACATGGCTCAGAAAGGAATGGATCTAAACTCATTTCAGGATTGTGGAGTGTAAATCTTCTAGAATTCAAGAAAAAAACAACTATACTCAAATTGCTCAGTGCAGTAAGTAACCAGAGAGCACTGTTACATTTAATTTGCAGAATCTCAAAGTTTTGTTTGATTCCCTGAGGCTCAATCTTTGGATAAGCCTACTCACCATCCTTTTTCCTCTGAACTTGTGTTCTCTTATTGCTGTTTGTTTTTTAATTATGAAAATATGGCCTTATAAAGACCCTTTGATTGCCAGTTTGCAGTACATTTTGTAGATTATAATCTGACAACGTAACTCAGAAAGTCTAGACCTCTGCAAATTATCAAGTCTAGACCTCTGCTTAAATATCTGTCCAATTTCGCCAGTTAAATGAAAAGCGAAGATTTTTTTCTCCTTCTGAGTTTGCCTCTAAATCCATATCTGGAGAAGGCAGTGGCAAAAGATACCCATCAGAGGTCAGATTTGCTGTATCACCAGGACTGTTCTAGGAACATAAGAGCAGGCTCAGGTGGAAGTGAAACTTATAAAATTAAACAATGGGATTGTGAAGAAATAAAACTCAATCATATCTATCTATCTATCTATCTATCTATCTATCTATCTATCTATCTATCTATCTATCTATCTATCCATCCATCCATCCATCCATCCATCCATCCATCTATCTATCTATCTATCTATCTATCATGGAAATATTGGATATCAAATAGTGCATAATTTGGACCTGAATTTGGATTGGAGAGACATATATGCTACACATCTTGATGATGTTTATCCCAATAAACAGGTAGTCCTCAACTTACAACAGTTCATTTAGTGACCATTCAAACGGCACTGAAAAAAAGTGACGTATGACCAATTTTCACACTTATGATCGTTGCAGTATTACCACGGTCACTTGATTTACATTTGGATGCTTGACAACTGACTCACATTTATGATAGTTGCAGTGTCCCAGAGTCATGTGATCTCCTCTTGTGACCTTCTGACAAGGAAAGTCAATGGGCAAATCAGACTCACTTAACAACTGTGCTACTAATTAAAGAACTGCAGGGATTCACCTAACAAATGTGGCAAGAAAAGTCATAAAATGGAGCAAAACTCACTTAACAAATGTAGCATAAATTTTGGTCTCAGTTGTGATCATAAGTTGATGACTACCTGTATTTCTTTCTGCTTTTGTACATACGGTATGTTTACTACACAGCAATGGATCTTTTGCTGCAATCAATAGCAGTATCCTATAAACTTCTGCTTACAGTTCTTACTCCAGAGTAAGAGGAGCTGGAATCAATGAAAACTATTTTCTTCACTTCCAGTATTATGAACTTCCTTTGAAGACCTCTACAAACAGAATACATTACTCCATAAATGGAAAACACCGTAAGATCCAATGTTTAAAAATATTTCTCATATGGGTTACATTGAGAACAATGGACATTATAATGGCTATTAAACAATATTATTCTTTAATTTAAACCAACAAAACACGGGAGGGAGTGATGGAGGGAGGGAAGGATGGAGGGAGGTTTCTTACCGAGCTAATAGGGGATGTATCTCTAGTGTGCCATGTGGCAGGATCCAACCAGTAATAATCCAAGTCACCTGGAAGAGTTATGAACAGAAAGAAATATTGTCTCATATTAAGAAAGTTATATGAATGAATGAATTATATCTGCATTCAGAAGTATAATGTAAAATATTTATAAGAAAAGCATTAAGTATAGTGGTCTTTTTACGAACAGAGTAATGTAGAGTGCATGGTATATATACTGTATGCAATTTACAATACATGTAAGCTATTTAAATTTGACAGACTAAATTTTGAAAATCTATATGAAAGCACTAATATTATATATATATATATATATATATATATATATATATATATATATATATATATATATATATATATATATGTACATATATAGTTGGATCTAGGGTAAAGTTAGTTCTACATAATTTCTTTTAAACTCACAGAAAACTAAGACGTGATTAATTATCCCATTGATTTAAACAGAATTTAAATAGAATTAGTTCCCACAGCAAATCTTTTAATTATCTACTCAAAAATACTTCTTACTGGTTCTTCAAGGACTTTTAATTTTAAAATTATACATATAAATCAGCATCTTGAATCTAGATTAGGATTTGAATAATTATTATGAAAAGAAAACACAATCCATTTTTATCCCTTAATAATTCTTCATATGGCTTTCAATTTCCTAATGATAATTGAAGAATATCTAATAACAAAAATGACAATAAGTAATTAGTATTGAGTATGTATTACTAAGTAATGAAAAGACACTAATAAAACTGTGTGACATGGACTGAATTGTTTAATTGAATAGATATTAGAATAAGAATTAGATCAGATGATACATACGGTAGTTGTAAAAAGCAGAAAGAAAAAAATGAATTATGATGAAGACTAGAATATTTTGGATCTGTCAGTGGATTAAGCAATAAAAACAAATAAATGAACTGCTATTGCCAAGTAAGTCCCTTAAGAATAGAAATTCAATACAGAAGATTCTGCTAAATCTAGAAAATCCTTTGTATACACATTTATCTAGGGGTGGTTCCATTTAAATAAGTACAAAAATACTGTTCTTTTAGCTTGAGGGATTTCATGATTATATAAGCTGCTTTGTTCTAATTATATCTTGAAGGTTTTAAATGTTTTGCCATATTATATTTTGCTCAATTGCTGTGGTGTATAGATTTTATAAATAAATTAATAGTTCTGTGTAGGTACTTATAGGTATGCACTATTACTATTAATTAATTGTTGTTCCAGTAGTTAATTAATATAGGCTGTGCTATCTTCACATTACCATGAATGCCAGCAGGGGATGGAATCCATCAAATGGCTCATTTGAGTATATGCTATTGCAGCCGGGGGAGGGGGGCATGTATTGTTTTGTATTTTTATTTTTTCTATACCTGTGTTTTTATTGCTTATAAGCCGCTTAGACTCACTTTGAGCATGTAGCAGCTATATAAATTTTCTAAACAAATAAATACTATATTTTGAACTTATATAATAAAAGCCATTATCCTTTGATTTTATCCCCATCTATATGTTACAATAGTCACAATAATATAAAAGAACTGCAATAGTGACAAATATCTGTAGCTCGGGTGTAGGTTGAGGACGAAAGTTCATTCTCTAAGCTTTTGGGTTGGTCTCTGAATGTTTCGTTACCAGACTAGACAACATCTTCAGCAGAGTTCAAGGGAAGGCAGTGTCAGTGTTTTGTTTATAAGAGCTTCAGGTGTGGAAGTGTGTCAAGTGAGGGTCTGTGGTAGGTCTTGTGATGGGCCAGATGTGAGTCATCAGTGAGTCTTGTGATGGCTCTTGTGATGGTGAGGTTACCTCACGTCAGGGTCAGGGTCAAAAGAATTTTATAGAGCTAAAATACAGAATATATACTTCACCATTTTCCATACATCATTATTATCATTGCTGCTGCTATTACACTTATTTCACTGTCATGTTCTTTATTTAAATATGTAATACGCAGCAAGGTGTAGATAGAATAAGTAAATAGTGATTTAAGAACTAGATTGAATGGACTAAAAAAGGTAACATTTTAAACTGAATAGCATTCCCTGGGCCTAACCATTTGAAGTTACAGCAACACTGAATATATAGTAGCTTATGACTGGTCCTAAAGGTTATGGCCCTTGCAGCATCTCTGCTGCCACAAGATCAAATTCAGGTGCTTGGCAGCCCATCTGCATTTACAACTGCGGTGCGTCCTTCAACTTCCCTCATGTGCTTATATCTTCTCCTATGGTATATCTGCCTTATTGGCCATTCAGCACTCCATTGCCTACCCATGCCATACACCCCACCCCAATGACTGTCACAATCTTTTGTCCCGCTGATGAGGAACATCTGACTGTGGCAGTGGCTGGCCTGTCACAAGATCCTTATGTGACCTCTGCACAGAGTCTTTTTGAAGGCCTTGTGAGGCTTTATGGGGACTTCACAAGGCCTGTGAAGGAGTGAGGCTTTGAGCAGGCCGAGTGAGGCTTTGCCAAGGCTGAATAAGCCTTTGAGGCCTTAGGGCCAGCAATTAGCTAACCAGCACACCTTGTCAGCAGTGGGAGGAAGAAGAGGTCAGATGTCTCCTGGGTTGGTGGGAGGTGACAAAATTAGGCAATATCAATGGAGAATAGGGCAGCCAAAAAGGCAGAAATAGGGGAGGAGATAAGTCTGATGCTATCATAGACATGATCCATTGTAATTTGGAGAAAGAGAAAGGTCATTTCAAAATTACATGTTGGTCATAAATTTACCCTTAACATCCTTCTGCAAATTATGGCAAGCTACAAGAGACTAAAACAGTACATGCAGGGTGGAATCAACCCTTCTTTAAAATTAATCCCAGATAAAAACTGTTTCATCAAATAAAAATGCACACAGAAAACTATAATCCGGGAGCGATGGCAAGAAGAAAAGCCCCTGACTTTGACAAATTAACTTTCCATTTTCCAAATAACTCTTGGGCTCATTTTACTTCCATTCACATCATTTAAAAGCACGGACGTATCAGTCAGGCCCCTTGAACGTTTTAGATGGAGAGGTGTTGCTGACTCTGCAGAATTCTTACCTAGTATCTTTTCCTTTTTGAATATGTAAGAGCAAAAGTTAGCATACAGCAGACATGGGCATACAGCTCTTAGGACGCATCAGTGTTAACATTCCACTAGCTAACTAATATTAACTAACTGGAAGAGGGAGACCTTACCAGTTTATTGTTGGGTCTCCTGAGCACTGCTTCCTGGCAGTTGCATCAAGGGACCATGAGCAACACCATATAGGAAACAACAACAACAGAATGGATCAAACTACACAAAGAACAGTACAGAATACCAGAACGGATAATGCCTTCAGATACACACTGTAGGTTAGGGGTGTCAAACTCAATTTCATTGAGGGCCACATCAGCATTCTGGTTGCCCTACTTCACATATCTGGCTTGGTGAGCTCTGGGGGAGGGGATGCCATGAGCAGCGTGAGAGTCAACATTACCTGGGAATGCTGCCCAGCCCAGTCTTTGTCTGATATGAAAGTCTCCTACTTGCCACGGAAGTGTGTGCTATATGCTTTTTAACTTTTGATTTAAATAGGAAAAAAATCACAAATAACCATCTGAAACTAAATGAAATTTACAGATATTACAGATAACACAGCTAATAATAATCAAATATGTAAATATTAAAATTCAAATCTGTAAAATGTCCCAAAGCACCTGAATTTCTGTCCTTTAGAGACAGACATTTGTCCAAATAAGATGGACATAATTAATACTTTAAAAATAATGTCTAAATAACTGACCAGTGTTATATGATTAATTTCTCAATCCTCATCCTTTTATTTTTCAGATAATTCTTTATCTGAAAAAATTTCTAATTTCATTAACATGCAACAATATGGCAATATTATTTCAATATTTTTACTGTGCTAACCAAAGTGGGTTTGACTAAGATAAGCTACCTACCCCTGTCTTCAACAACTTTAAACTATTACATATGAGGCCAACTAACAAATCATATACAAAATAGAGGCATTAATTCAATTGAACATACTGCATAAAAAGATTTTGCAAAAGCTTACTGCATTAGAATATGCAGACTGCAGACTGATATTTGAATGAAAGCTATGAAATTTACTAACCACAACGATTCAAGAAAAGCTGGGCACATGTCTAAATAGATCTGTTAAAAATAATATCTGAATTATTTTATATCCCTGGCAATCAAAACCTCTGAAATTTCTAATTTCATTAACATGCAAAACCATATATCTACAGAAGCAACATTTGCATTGATCTAGAATTGCATTTATGGGCAGGTTATTTTTATAATTCTGGATACACACATATACACATTTTAAAAGTCAAGCAATATTTTTGAAAACAATATACATATAAAAGAAGTCTAGAATATTCGAAATGAAAGGGACACTCAAGAACAAAATGGCTTAGTGATTCCAAAATTGTAAAAGCCCATCCTTGTACCTCATCACAAAGATCACCCCTTTCCAAAACTCAAAGTTATTGACAATAATATTTTACAGATACCCCACAGTCTTTCAGTCCGAGAGGCCCACATGATTACCTGTCCCTGAATGCAAGGAATGGAGAAGAAACTGAAGGAAACCAGCAAACATAGCAGCATCAGCTCGCAGTGTCTTAATAAGCAGAACCAGCTCTGAGCAGGTTGCTGAATTCTAGCCTCAGTCTGTAGCAAAACCATAATCGCAAGGGTGCGGGAAACACCCAAAACCAAATCAGTACAAAGTGAATCTGTATGAGGAGTCCTTGTTTCCTGTAGTTCTTGTCTCCTGAGCCTGTGCCAAAGGATTCTGCAATGTCAAACATTCTACAAGACTAACATCAATTAGGGCCATCAGAGCACCTGCCGTAAATATAAATCTCTGCAGTGTAGAGTGAGCACTGATTACTGCAATAATCCATACGCTGTCCATGCAGGGCTAAAGAGGCTCTCTGCCTATGGAGCATCTTTAATCATTTTCAGAGACCCCCATTAAGGATCTCACGAAGCAGTATGTTTGCTTCGCTGCAGAA